CGTATTGGATGTTATGATTACTTAGTTTTATCCAAGAGGTTTTTAAGTGAGCCGCATTTAATTCACAACTACATTTGCAAAATTCTTTTTCAAAGATATTTCTTATTCGTCTTTCTTTAAAGTGAATTATTCTTAATAAAAAAGTTTTTGTTACACAAAACGACTACATTTCTTTTATATCTTAAAATGAAATTTATTTCAGATGTTAATTAAATTTAACTCAATTCTCGCGTACTTTTTCCTCGAATAATGTAGTCCTCGAGAAGTTTCATTTTCAGAAATATTAAGAACCCTTTTCTTAATGCTAATTTTCGTTTAAATGTCTAGACTTTGGTCTATAGCTCGTACCTAATTATTAAGTGATTTAAGTAATGCTCTATTTACATACAATTGGGCACTATAAAAACATCGTACCATTAATGATTGTTATACACGTTTGTTATACATGATACATTGTTATTACATGGCAAATAGAATGAAACGGTGAAGAAATGCGTACATAGGGACTAATGTTGCCTGTGGCTTATTTCAAAAGGACCAGCATTTCCTCAGATACCCTTAGAGATTTTAGCGTGGTTGACAATTAAAGACTGATTATTTCAAATTATAACTGTATTTTAGTTATATACTTGACTTCATTTAAAATTTTGTTATAGTAATTCAGTAACAACTGGATAAATCCTGGAACATTACAATTTTACTCGTCCGGACTCCCCCTTTCAAAAAGTAGCAGGACTATCTATCTTTATCAAGCACTCGAAACTAAACATAGCCCACCCATGTGTGATAATCTGTATTATCTTTTTGGTAACATTAGGTATATCATTTATTGAATGTTTACCTTCACACCTTACAGGCCCACTTCTGACGAAACAACCAAATATAAACACGAAGGATATCATAATACATTAATTGCGTAAGACTGGCTGAGTGCTCGTGTCTCATAAGGCTAATAAGAGGCTCTGTCGGGCCTTAGGACCATTATTCACTTAGAAACGCCCCTTAGGACCGCCCAAAAAAGCTACCCTTGAACCATAATTATGCTCGGTCAAGTTTACGAACCAATTACGTCTGCTTTTTATATTAAAGAGATGATACTACGTCGTAAAGATTTTCACAGGTCAGAACACAATTAGGTGTCCATGTGTGGCCACCGATCAGATAAAGAAGGTGACGGAGCAAAAAATCTTGTTTACCTTGTACTAAAATAATATTTGATATAGTCTTGCAGTTGCCTTTTTCTGACCTCAGTAATCTTATACTATTATATAAAGCGGAAGAGTTTGTTTTTTTTTTGTATGTTTGTTTGAACGCGCTAATCTCCGTAACTACAAGTCTGATTTGAATAATTATTTTTGTGTTGGATAGCGCATTTATCGAGGATGGCTATAGGCTAAAATAAAACACGCTACGACCAATAGGAGCTGAGCAGAACGTGTGAAACCGCGCGGAAGTAGCTAGTACTTATATAATATTATGAGATCAGTAATTTCAGTGAAATATGAAATGTCGAAATAAATTTAAATTTGAAATGTCATCAAACATGCTCTCCTATTCATTTGAATGCACACCAACTAACTTCATATCAGACTCCCAAGTAAAAACTAGTTAGGAGTTCGCGTGTGAGCCGACTGTTTATCACAAGTAAAGTCGAGACCTACTGCCTAGTACTTAATTTCCATATTTGATTGGCTAATTCAAATTATGATTACGTGCCCAAAGGACCAAGTGTTCAAGGAGTGAGATCTAATTACATCATCGTGTTGTGAATTCATTTCATGTGAATGTTTAATGTTTACCCAATTTTGGGAATCATTGGTTCCTTCTGTTTATATTCGATTATTAATTTTGTAACTCAAATATTCTACAAAGACCAAACGATCACAAAGTGATAATTTCGTTTTTTAATTTCTGGTCCTTTGTTCCTTAGAATTCAGATACATATTATGTAAAGCCAAAGTTTTCATATTCATATTTAATAGTAGCTTTTACTCTACGCCCTACGTTATCTTTGTCATAAAAAGACAAATAGAGGGGTTTTATCTCTACATTAAACAAAGGCCGACTGACTAAAACTTAAACTACGTTATGCCATACCTAAAATAATACCCTTATTATGTGACTTTTTAAATGAGCAGACATATCACCTGATGGTAAGCAATCGGTGTCGCCCATGTACACCTGGAACACCAGAGGCCTTACAAGTGCGTTACCGGACTTTTGTGGATTAAGAATTTAAGGATTGTCTAAGATTCAGGGATTGAAGAGATTGAGAAGGCGGGGATGATTGGGCCTCCGATTACCTCTCTCACACGATGGAACACAACGCATGGTGTTTCACTTCAGTTTTCTGTGAGGCCGTGGTATCTTTCCGGTCGAGCCTTCCCATTTGCTCCGAAGCATGGCTCTCCCAAATTTAAAATAAATATAGAATATAAAAGTCCATTCATTCTAAATATGAAATCTACATATATCTAATACATCATCGTTGAAAGTGAAATAGCGTCACATCACACTCCACTAAAAATTCCGATACCATAAAATTCTAAGAAAAAAAAACAAAAATGTGTTTACGAAATTTTTATAATCATTCCTTATGTTTATTTCCAATAACGTGGTTTGTATACTTTATGTTAAAGAAAATCAGGTGAGGGAACATTTTTACCGGTGGCGCTCACTCCTCGACAAACATGAAAGCAATCTTCGGAGGATTGGGGGATAAATATTCAGAGCATGATGCCTCGGTCAGCTTAAAGCTTAGGAGATTTTCACTTCACTTTTGATACGGAAGGAAATATTTGGATCTGGAGTTTTGGATCTTGGATTTTTAGCAGAAATGAATTTTAGCCTGCCTCATTGGCCGCGTAGTCGCAAGTGCGACTGCAATGGGTCTCGGGTTCGATTCCCGGGTCGGGCAAAGTATTACTGGGTTTTAAAAAAAATCTCAGTTTAAAATATTAGACACGTATATTTTTATTTTGTCGTATAATAAAACAGTACTTAGATAAAACGAATAAAAGTTTAGGAGTGGGGGCTAAAACGTCTTTTATACGTATAAAATGTACATAGAAGTGACGTCACGCGACATTTCAAATCATTATATCGTCAAAAGTATTCGTTTCTGTAAGAAAATAAAAAATACGTGTCTAATGATTTAAAATAATCTACCAGACGGACATTAAAATAAAAATTAGGCATCTCCCCTATTAGCTGAGAATACCTGTACCTACTTATTGCTAATATACACTTGTTTTCCACTAATTACATGCATATATACCTTACTGTCAAACATAGTTTGTACGTACGTACATTAAAACTACAAAAGCTCTGGATATAATATATAACTTTAATAAAGAAAATCTAAATCTGAAAAAACAATAATACACTAAGAATGAAGACTTTGTTGCTACCGACGTAACCTTCAATCCTTACCTGCCTTTACGTAGAAATTTGGAAATAAGTAGCTAAGGCATTTCCATATTACATGCCATGTCACCATCTTCTAAACCTCATACCTCAAAAAATATGAGTCATAAAAATTCCCCAGCGCATTTCATTTGCTGGGGGGACGTATACCATAAAAATCGCAGTACCTACGTTACTTAGATAACAATATATCAGGTTCGAATGTGATAAGCTTTCGACAACACTAATGCGTTTACACATGGAAGCCATTAGTGGGAGCGTTTGAAGTCGTCGCGACGTTGTTTTGACGGGTGGACACTTTGTATGAACTACGCATTTGTCCATATGACAGTTTGCTGTTTTATTTGCGTAGTTTGCTCTGTTTCAAAGTCCCTCGCAGTATGCTGGCGCTAGACATGTGCGCAGTTGTTTGTTCACATAGTGTTTACGGACTAAATACCATCGAATGTCCGTGCCACACATTAGCGACAGTAGTCATACATAAACACAAGATGAAGAATGCGATTGCCAACTGGATAGTTTCCGGGGTATCAAAATTAAAAATCTAATTAGTCCGTCCGTTAGATAATGAAAAAATATTAGACACGTATTTTTTTATTTTGTCGTATTATGTCACAATACTTAGATAAAATGGCGCTAAGTTACGTTACGTCATAACGTGTTACAAAATGTGGCACACTATGTCGTCACACGATATTTCAAATTAATATATTTGAAAAGAAAAAGTATGTGTCTAAAGTTTTAAATTATTGTACCAGACGGACATTAAAATAAAATTTAAGACACTACCGTATTATTCTTACGTTTTTTATTCAAATTGACAAAATCCCTTATAGAATATCCTTGTCTGAATATGGGAAGACAAAGCGGACTAAAAACTACCCTTATATACACTCTCACATGTGGGCACGAGACTAAACTTTACCTGTTTCCTTTTACAGCAAACAATACAATTCACATAAATGGAATATAATACTTATGGTACAAAGGTGGTATTATGACAGCTTAGTGATAGATAGCACTTATAATAATAGAGTTCTTATACCTTTATATGTATACACAATACGGCGAAAATTCAACGGAAATCGTTTTAGAAGTAAGACTTCCTTGTTCCTCGACCCTTGCGTGTACACATTTCAAAATTGAATTTAACTAATAAATATTTAACCACACTTTTTTAGTATTTCTAGCTTTCTTTCTTCATACATAACATCATTGTTATATCCTGTCAAAGTTAGCAACATTTCTTCAAGTTAGCATAAAAAAAAATTAAAATTGAAAAATTACAATAATTATTTTACCAGTTTTAGTATATAAGTACAAACAAAATGTCGCGGAGAACCTAACGGGTAACCGGGGCTCCGGCTCGACGTGCTGGAGAAGGAACGGTATGGTTTATAGTCAGATTAGTCAGTAAGAGACTGACACACCCTCCCGCCTCACCCAGACGGGAGCAGTCATTCGATGATTTTTCACCCTTAAAAAATGTACTAACAAATTACTATTTATTGCCTCGGAAAACCAACCTTTTTTGTAGCTTATAGACAGAAATTATTCTAAATATCTTGTTTCAGTGCCTAAGCTGCGTGGACCACGTGCGACCTGCCGAGCTGTCCAGCATACCGGGACCTGAAGGGGAGCGGCTGCCGGGGGATGGAGCCAGCGCCTCAGCTCCTGATGACCAGGTATAGAACTTTGTGATGATAATTAATTATCATAACACGTGCCAAAACAAGCGTCGATCTACTATTTAGTCCCTAATTGTGTGTATGTTTTGTTGTTAATAGTAATACGAAATATTCAATAATCCATTATCTATGACAGCGCCGTATCAGCGATGACGGAGCTTCGACGCACAGCATTAATCCATTCCAAGAGGATCCAGGTGAGTGACCTCTTATTATGTCTTTTTACATTATATTTAAGTGTTGGAGAGCCATGCTTCAGCACGAATGAGCCGGATCGACCGAAGTGACGGCCTCACAGAAAACCGACGTGAAACAACGCTTGCGTTGTGTTGGAGTGAAGTTACTGGAGGCCCAATTACCTCCCTAGTCCCCGTCCCCCGAATCCCCGAATCATCCCCGAATCCTCCACAATCCTCAAATTCCCAATTCCCAAAAGGCCGGTAACGCACTTGTAACGCCTTGGTGTTTCGAGTGCTCATGGGTGGCGCCGGTTGCTTACCATCAGGTGATACGTCTGATAGTTTACCGGCTTATGTCATAAAAAAAAATTGCGATGTATGAAAAAAATTTGTTCTTTCAGTACATATTACTGTAAGTAATTTATGTATCATTAATTATTGTACACTTGACGACCTATATCAGACTCCTATTGCTGCTCCATCCAAAGTTTGTCTGTAAGAAATCGCCTTGTGCTATAAGCCCGTCCATTGTACACTATTTTTATTGTTAGGTAATATTGTCCTGTAGTACGATTGTGTGGTGTACAATAAAGCATATTATTATTTATTATTATATTACGTCTGCGTCGTTGGCCGAGTGGTCATAAGTGCGGCAAGGGGTCTCGGGTTCGATTCCCGGGTCGGACAAAGTATTACTGGGTTTTTTAATATTCTCAGTAGTAACACGGAGTCTGGAATTGTGCCCGGTATATGGCAATAGGCTCACCCCCTATTACATGGGACTCATAACATCAATAGTGAAAAGTGGGTGTTACTTTATACAGTGGTATAATGTGCACATCTGTCTAACCCTTCGGGGATAAAAGGCGTGATGTTATGTTATGTTATATTACGTCCTATCTTTGTTTTTAATACTTCTATAATGCGACCTGTCGCCAGTAGGACAATAAGCAGTTTGTTTGTCTATAAATAAGGGCGTGTTCAGGGTAGCGACCTATGTCGCATCCTTTGTCCGTCCTATCTTAAGCGTTTTTTATTTTTAGCGTTTCTTTGAACTGAAACACAGAATCTGAAAGTATGGAGTGGTTAGCTCAGTTGCTATGTAACTGGGTGCTGCGCAACGTGTCCTTGGTTCGATTCCCATACGAAATAACTCTTATTTGTGTTCCAAAAATTGTTGTTCTAGGTCTAGCGTGTCTAGCTTAATATGTATGACTATAAACGCACCTTCAGCACAAAATACCTACACTGTTTAGAAACCAAAAAAAAAACAATCATAAATCAAGCCCATTTATAGTTTAAGATTCTAGTTTATAGTCTACGATATAAATGAAAATCTGCTAAACAACAATCACAGAACTATAACACGCTAATTTGATTACCATAACAAGTACAAGAACTAACTCCCTAGCTTCAAACTTCATAATAATTGTGTTATTAAACTTTACGGGACCCGCAATTGTTTGAGACTAATCGGATTCGAGCCGTGGACAGAACTAATTGTGCCGCTACACCAAACATTGTTATCCGTAGCAGTCTACGCGGCTACGAAACTGCTACGCCGTAGACTTGCTACGAGGAGTTTGTAAATTGATGTTTACATGTGATTTTAGATAACATAGCCTGTTGTGGTTATTGTAGTAAATGTGCTTATTGATAGAGAGTTAGTTTTCCTTTAAAAATCCTCATGCAAGCCACTAAGAAGTGCAACTCTTAGCCTTCTCATTTCTAGAAGGATAAAACCTGGATATCTTCAAATTATAAGTAGATAAACCATTTCCAGACTTTTCTACCTCTAGATAGATAGTGGCAAAGCGCTGCTCTTTAAAAGTGAAGGTTTAAATAAATTCGGACGTCATTTGTAACTAGCTACTTCCGCGCGGTTTCACGCGCTCTGCTCAGCTCCTATTGGCTGTCGCATGATGTTTTATAGCCTATAGCCATCCTCGATAAATGCGCTATCCAACACAAAAATAATTATTCAAATCAGACTTTAATTTACGGAGATTAGCGCGTTCAAACAAAAAACAAACTCTTCCGCTTTATAAAGCGGAATAGGCTTTATAATAAGTATAAGATGAAATTTAGGCAACATTAAATACGTTACTTATGAATCCACTATACATTTTTATTTAATTTCATGTACATACGTACACGTACATGTAAATCAATCAATCAATCAATCAATCATTTATTTATTTAAGACATCAATGGTCCACTGTGTTAGTAACAAAATAAAAAAAAAATGGAACGCTCCTAAAACGCTGACAACATATTTTTACAATTTTAATAGTTTTTTGTTTATGTGTTATTCATGCAACACCAGCCTTGGGCAGTTGATTACAACTGTTATTGCATGAAACAAACACTAATGCCGGAATACTGAAACGTTACTCAATTTTAAGTCGTGCTTAAATATCGTGCCATCTCTGTCATTTTACAAAGAATTTGTAGAGACAGAACTATAATTAAACGCGACTTAATATTGAGTAGCGTTTGAGTATTCCGACATAAGTTCCTTACTTTCATGAAAATAAAACTTTTTAATGGGATAAACCGGTAAACGAGCAGGCGCATCACCTGATGGTAAGCTATCGGCGTCGCCCATAGACACCTGGAACACCAGAGGCGTTACAAGTGCGTTAACGGCCTTTTGGGATTAGGAATTCGAGTATTGTTGGGGATTAGGAAAGGGGGAGGGGTAATTGGGCGGTTTACGTCTTTCTTCTGTGAGACCGTGGTATCACTCCGGTCGAGCCGGCCTATTCGTGCCGAAGCATGGCTCTCCCACACTTAAAGAACTTGTTTTTTACCATCACACCATATATAACCTTGTTATGTTCGCAGTGGAAACAGAAGGCATGCTCAGAACACCTCGCTACTACCGGGGGATATACTGTCCCTCAATCACAAATAGTTTTAAGGTAAGCACAACGCTTTTACTTTAATATTTGGGTTGGTTTTCGTATGATACCACTTAAATCACTTAAAGAAAATTCTATAGGTGTTAATCTAGTACGAGCATTGCCTTAGGTCTTTAATGGGTTCAATTTTGTTGCAGAATAAAGCAGTAGAGTTATCATACCAAAGATATTCGCGGAGGCAGCGACAAAAGTCACTTATCATGGTGAACGTTGTCGATTTAGCACTTAAGGTGAGCGATATTTTTTTTATGGCATTAGCCGGTAAACGAGCATACGGATCACCTAATGGTAAGCAATCGGCGTCGCCCATGGGCACCTGGAACACCAGAGGCGATAACAAAAATAAATAAAATCTGAGTACGGTGCGCCGATGACAACATTAGTCTTATTAATTTACTTTTCCTTTTATACACAGTATTGTTTACGAAAATCACTTCTCAAATAAATCTTATTCTAAAACTTTTTAATAACAAAATGCATTGTTCAATTTCAGATATGTCTAGCAATAATATACACAGTCACAAACTTAGACGGTGAGTTACTAAAGGACTTTTCAATAAATTACAATTAAATTAAAATACAGTCAATGTAAATTAATCTCGAATGTGTTGAGAGCTCTTCAGTAAATGTAGTGCTAATTTAATTTACTCGTTAGGTAGTAGGTGGCTTTTAGAACTGAACTACTGTATGAATTTTATTATGGCCCTAAATCTAAGGCACTTGTCCCACCGCTGACGAGAACAAGACTAACTATAGGCTATTTTCTCGCTCAAATGTATAATAGATATACATTGCTTGTAAACAAAAGAGATGCATTTTATTTATTTATTCAAAAAAAAAGATTTATTCAAAATATTTATTTATTCAAAAAGTCGTTACAGTTTACTGTTTCACATTATGACTTATACTTATAACAGTTATAACAATAAATTATTATGTTTTCAGCTTACTCACGTAATTATTTGACGAGGAACTCGACTAGTTTCAAGCTATGCTAGAGGCTCATATTCATGAGCGGCATTTCGCGACCCGAGACTTGGCGACTGTCGCGCTGCTACTCCGCGCCACAGTCGCCGCGTCGCGGAATCATAAAGTATGAGCGAGCATGAATATGAGCCTTTAGCATGGCTTGAAATAGTCGAGTTCCTCGTCAAATAATTACGTGAGTAAGCCGAAAACATAATAATTTAAAAGAGATGCATATACAAATAGTTGATTACCGATTGTTCCACCGATACTGCCGGCGAGCACTCGCTTTACTAGTTTGTCTATAACGATAGATTTCATTGCTCTTGTTGTTCAACGATGAGAGCAACCAGTGGTCATTTCTCTACGGTGCGAATCGGAAAGTGCAAACAACTCGCACACTCGCTTATAGTCGTACTACAAAACTATCGGAACTACACACGCACTCGCTCCCCGCGGCTCGCCAACTCGATTCCAATTTCGGCTATACTCGTTACTCGTTCATTGTTGCCGGTGAGACAACTGCCGAACTTCTATAGCAATTATTTTATTGTATGAGTGGTGTGTAAATTTCGATGCCCAAATGAACTATGGTATGTTCGCCAAAGATGGCCCGCTTTCTGAGACAGGCCACTTAAAAAATATGCAGTTATGATTACTTTTTTCGATATCTTGATTGTCAAAAATAAATACATTACAACCTCCAATATGTTTCTTCTCTACTTTATTTATCTACAAGATTATACAAGGTTTGAAATAAGGTGGACCTCATTAGGCGACTGTACCTTATTTGTAATGTAATATTCTGATTTTGCATTAGACTTTTCGTGTAATCTGCACGCACATTACTTTCTTTATATTATTCACGAATGGAGTTTCTTGAACGTTCTTCTCCATTCGAATCTACATTTTGGAATGAGTACCTAGCCTCACTGATGGACTGACTGACAGACTTTATTTATTTTGTATTTTTTGTCGTTTCAAAAGTACCAAATTAAGTTTTAATTGAAATAAATGCTTTGACTTTGTCTTTGACTTTATATATAACATCTGTCTTTATTAGCTTTCTTCTTTATAAGATCTCTTCCTGGTAATATTATTGACATCTAAGTTTCTTCTTCAGTAGCATCACCGAGTCCGTACCAGATCGCGTGGACAGTGGCCTTCTCCTGGCTGAATGTAGGAGTCTGTTTGCTGGGCTGGTGGCGGTGTTTCGCCAACAACTACCTGCACTGGGCGGCTGCAGCTACCTGGATACTACTTATCGCTCAAGGTAAGACTTCTTACATATTTACTTGTATTTGACCAGAAATTATTGGTTAGTAAGTTATTGAGGGTGGGATTGTTCATAACTTATTTCTTCGGTCGACAAAAAATATCAGAATTTGAGATTCATCGGCTTGCAGAGCTCGATGGTAAACGTGACAAAATAAAAGTCTGACCACCAGCGACAGTTCACTATAACTATGTTTATGGTGTTCTCACGTGTCCACTCTGTGGAAGAATATTTAAAAAAGGTGGATTTTCCAGCCACTTGAGAGTCCATGATAAACGCCAGTAGCCAAGAAACGGTCGCCGTAGCCGAAACCGGCATGGAGGATTATCATATCATTACTTCGGTCCATCAAAAACATTGAAGGTGCTAACTATAATAATTTACCAGTTTATAATCGGCACACATTGAATGAATGGTCGCATGTAACAACTCTGGTGATAAGACTAATTAGATTTCCAAACATTCAGTAGATTCGGCGACATAAAACTAGTGTAGGCAACTCTTTGTTAAAAACCTCCTTTATAGCGCGATAAGAAAAATGGTGGTAACGTAGTGAATTCGCATTCGCGCTAAAATTCAAAATTCGAAGCCCCGCCCAACGCCTCGCTCGAGCGAGCCCCGCGCTAGTTAAGGGTGCCCACCCTATAGATATATGCTTTGTCAGCACTAATTCAGCTTAGCAACATAATTAGTAGGTATATAAGTCAGCATTATATAAAACACGTGTAGAATCTCTTGGAACATTTTGTGCTTACTCATTAGTTTACCTCTTTCGCAATAAGTAATATGACACCCTTATTGTACCAATAATTATTTGTAATTTCCATTAGAATTCATTCTGTTCTCAGACTTCGCTCAACAAACATTGTAACTCGATTTTATTAAATAAATTTTATTTTTATTATAAATCCGAGTTTCCGTTCCTTGACTGGCGCAGCCGGTAAGTGACCTTGTCGTTTGGGTCCTCTGTGCCACCGCGAATAAAATTTTCGGGCACCGAGAACACTCCAACGTTCGTATCAACGATTCAACGGGTCAGCGAACCAAACAAATTCGTCAAGGGAAGCCACGGCGCAGAGCAGGCTGAGCAGAATCATCAACCACGGGAGAGCGGCAAAGCAGCGGGTCATGTGAGTAGATCTTTTCACTATCCTGTCTACTTTCCTTTGAATTTCCTCCGTGATAATTGTGTGTGTCTCGTGTATCATATAGGGATTAGAAAAAGCCCTTCTGGCACGTAGCGCATTACAGTGATAAAATTTTCACGTTTAGTAATAGTTAGATATAATTTTATTACGAGTTAAAGATATTTTAGTAGGTACTACATAAAAATGGAAGGAATCGTAGTTATACCCCCTGGAGTATTAAAAATCATCCCTATATTTAGTGGCGAGACAAGGCTATTGTCTTTATTTATCCGCAAAACTGAATATATCATTAATTTATATCGCGGCAATGAAATACAGAATGAATATCTGTTCAACGCGATAACCAGTAGGCTAAGCGGGGAAGCAGCTAATTTAATAGGTGAACGAGATACAATTCACTCTTGGGCAGAATTAAAGCAGGTTTTACAGGATCATTTTGGGGATCCAAGAACAGAAGATTGTCTAGTATTAGAGTTAGAAAGTCTAAAAATAAATAGAGGCGAAAGTTATTTAGATTTTTGTCACCGTATTCAACAATTACGTAGCATATTAATCGCGAAAATTAATGAATCAGACGAAGATGCGGCTACAAGGTTATCGAAACAAAGTATTTACACAAACCTTTCTTTGAATGTTTTCTTGTTTAATTTACCGAAATTTTTAGTTAGGTTGGTGCGATTAAAAAATGTTTCGACCCTGGAAGATGCTTTGAAAGCTGTCTTGGAAGAACAATATTTCCAAGAAGTTTACGACCAGAAACAATCGCGGCATCCGTCATTTAATACAAACTTTCAAGGCCGAAATAATTCGAATCATAATTTTAATTCGCAAGCATCGCCGAGTACAAGCACTAGTGCACCGAATATGCGATCTAACAACAATTTTACTCCAAATCGTAACATTGTACAGACGAATAATAGAAGTAACATTCGGAATAATAACTTTACAAATAATTCATTTTTGCCTAGAAATAACAGAGATAATAATAATCGCTTTCATCAAAATAATTACTTTAACAATAATCATAATACGTCGCAACAAGGCCGGCCACAGTTCCCAGGCCGACAAATTGCTGACAACGCGCAGCTCGGTTCGCAACAAGCGCAGCCCGCGCCGCTGTCGCCGCATGGCTCAGGTTCAGGTTGCAATACCGACGTGACCATGAGAACGGCTAGTACAAGACGCATCAATTATACCGACCATAATGACAACGGGAATAATGCAATGTTCGGTATTTCTAATGAGAACGAACAGGTAGGAAATTTTTGCATAAGGGCCTCTTCACACCAGAGCGAATAAAATTAAATTGTAATATATTAAATCTGCCGTATATATATTTACCAGAACTTAACGCTAATTTTATGATTGACACCGGCAGTCAACGTTCGTTTTTAAGCCCAAAGTTAGCGAATCAATATTTTGGCGACTTTAAGCGAAACGAAATATTTAAAGTAGTAAGTACTCACGCCATAAGTACACATAATGAAGTAGCGTATATACCTTTACCTAAAATATTTAGAAGTAATGAATGGCACAAATTTTATATTTATTGCGTTGACGATAGATATGATGGCTTAATCGGTAGCGATTTATTGGTGCAACTTTACGCTAATATTGATATGAAGAATAAAAAATTGTTTACTAGGGATACTTGCATACCGATTAACTATAGTTCACCTACACATAAGTATGATTTTTACAAGTTACCGCCGCGTAGCGAATTACGGGTCAAAATTCCGGTTAATTTGGCAAACGGTGAGGCAATTATAAATTTTGTAGAATTTACCAAGGGTGTTAGAATGCCAACAGCCTTAGTTAACTGTACGCATGGATATGCAACAACAGTCATACAAAATTCTAGATCCGAACAGATGGAATTATCGATTACCAGTCCGTTTAAGGTCGAACCATATTTAGATAATAATTTAAAGCATGATAGGCTTAGGTTGAACTTTACCGATGAAGATAATCGTAATTTGGACCAACTATTAACGGATAATCTCTCTAAGTTAAAAGTTGATCACATGAATGAAGAAGAAAAGCAATCTATTATTAATATTTGTAATGAGTTTAAAGATATATTTTATTGTGAGGACGTACCACTCTCATTTACAAACGAGGTAAAGCATAGGATTAGAACTAAAAACGAAGATCCAATACATATTAAAGCTCGAAGGTTACCGCCTTCACAAGTTGCGGAAATAAAAAATCAAGTAGAAAAAATGCTTAAAGATAATGTCATACAAAAATCATTTTCACCTTGGAGTGCACCGGTTCATTTAGTGCCAAAAAAAATAGATAATTCGGGCAAACAAAAATGGAGGATGGTCATTGACTATAGACGCCTCAATGAAATTACAGTCGACGATAAATACCCCCTACCTAATATCAATGACCTTTTTGATATGTTAGGCAAGAGTATGTACTTTACAACCTTAGATCTAGCTAGTGGCTACCATCAGATTGAGGTAGAAGAAGAGGATAGAGCAAAAACAGGTTTTAGTACGCATTTTGGGCATTATGAATTTAACAGGATGCCATTTGGCCTAAAAACAGCACCAGCTACATTCCAACGTGCTATGGATAATGTCCTAAGAGGATTGCAAGGCATTCATTGCTTAGTTTACTTAGACGACGTTATCATTTTCGCAAAAAGTATTCAGGAACATAATGAAAAACTTAGAGCAGTTTTTGAGAGATTTCGCGAAACTAATTTAAAGGTACAATTAGATAAATCTCAGTTCTTACGGAAAGAAGTACTGTATTTAGGGCATACTATAACTAGTGAAGGCTTAAAGCCCAACAATGACAAAATAGAGGCAGTATTAAAATATCCTATACCTAAAACAACGACTGAAATTAAAAGCTTTCTTGGTCTCATAGGGTACTATAGGAAGTTCATAAAAGATTTTGCGAAAATAACAAGACCACTTACAGTGTGTTTAAAAAAGGGTAAAAATATAGAGTTAAATGAGGAATATATAGAGAGTTTTGAAACATGTAAAAAACTTCTTACAAACGCGCCGTTATTACAGTATCCGGATTTTAATAAATCATTTATCCTGACCACGGATGCATCAAATTTTGCAATCGGGGCAGTACTATCACAGGGCACAATTGGTTCAGATAAACCAGTGGCATACGCCAGCAGAACCCTAAGTGATACAGAATCTAGATACAGCACTATTGAAAAAGAGCTTTTAGCAGTAATATGGGCAGTTAAGCACTTCAGACCATATTTGTGGGGAAAAAAGTTCTACATTTATACAGACCATAGACCTTTGGCCTGGCTATATTCGCTTAACGAACCAAACAGTAAGCTCACTAGATGGCGACTTAGATTAGAAGAATACGATTTTGAGATCAATTATAAAAAAGGTTCGCAGAATTCCAACGCAGATGCGCTATCGCGAATAAAATTAAATACATTAGGCGTAGACAGTAATAATAATATTATAGTTAGTCTAAATGGTAAGAAAAGTAGGGAAATAAAAGTTAACATACTAGCTAATGATGATAATGCGTCAATGTTAGTAAACGTAGATAATAATGAATCTGTTAGGAATATACAAAATAATAATGAAGTAGAAGAGTAATTAGTTTGTCAGACTCAGAATCAGATAAACTCAGCATAGATAGAAAAGAGGTACCTGTCATAGATGTATCTGATTCAGATGATGGAGCTACTGCTCATTCTATATCGAACAGAGAACACGAAGGAATACCAATTTTAAATGAAGCAGTTGATACCAAGCCCAAACAAATACTTGTCTTCAATTGGTATAAAAATGATATACATGTTAAAGATATATCTAATAACAATCAAAAAATATTTGAAGTACACATGCCAGCTGTTAATAATGAACACTTAGTAAAAGCATTTTTAAAAGAGTATATAGATTTTAAGCAGAAATATTTCATTTACTTTGAAACAGAGTCTTTTAGAAAAGTATTTAGTAAAGTAGTGACAGCATTGTACAAGAAAGGTAATCAAAATTTAATTGAATGTACAGAGCGAGTAGTTAATGTAACAAATGAAGAAGAACAAAAAGAAATTATTATGAAATACCATGAGGGCAAAACAGTTCACCGAGGTATTCGGGAAACCCTCACTAAACTTAAAAGGCATTATTGGTGGTCTCATATGAAAGACACAATAGCCGCCGTCATTAATGCATGTGAACAGTGTAGGAAAATGAAATATGATAGAAAACCTATAAAACCTCAGATACAATTTACTCAAACACAAAATATGCCATTTGAGGAAGTTTTTATGGACCTTTTGTACGTAGAAATAATTATTATCTAACCATAGTAGATGCTTTTAGTAAGTTAGCGCAAGCTTTTAATGTACCGAACAGAAGTACACCCGAAATAGTTAAGGCATTAATTAAGTATTTTAGTTTCTACGGAATACCTAGAAAAATTAATAGCGACCCTGGAACCGAATTCAATAATAACCTTGTGAAAGAATTATTAAACTTGTACAAAATTGAGATACATGTAGGGACGCCGAATAACCCCAATTCGATGGCTATAGTTGAACGTTTCCATTCAACAATACTTGAAATTTATAGATTAGCAAAGTATGAAAAGAGTGATCAAGATGCAGCCTCTGTGATGACGTATGCAATTATGGCATATAATAATACTATACATAGTGCGACAGGTTTTACACCTCATGAAATAGTGTTCGGTCACACAGAATCGGGAAATGCATTTGATATAGATAGAGATAAAAATCTTTTACAGAAATTAGTTCAGGATCATAGGAAAAGGCTTAAAGTTTTATATGAATATGTTAGCGATAAGATTAAGGAAAATAAGAGTAAAGTAGTAGAAAAGAAAGGTGGTGAAACCCCTCCTGAGATAAAAGAAGGTGATAAAGTCTTCATGAAAACTACTAGGAATCGAAAAGCTAAAGAAGTGCCACGATACGAAAAAGCGGAAGTAATAGGAAAAGTAGATAGAAATATAGTACCGGTAAAACTCAGAAAAAGAAATACAAAAGTGGCAATAAAAAATATAAAACGCCCTCCGCAGGTGGTGGCAGGCAGTTTTGATGCTCCTGGTCCTAGCGGAAACGGCAAGCACCACGAACCTGCAGGAAATGAATCAGAATCCTGGAATAGCGCCGATACGGATAGGTGCAGCAGCGATTCAGAATAGTCATTGGACTATATTTAAGACATTAGATTTAAAAACAATAGATAAGTATTTAGATACTAATATTAATCAATACTTTAGGTTAAAAGATATGATTTATTCGCAAACTGAATCACATAATGAACTTGTAGGATTAACCTTGCAAGTAGAATCTTTTATGGAACTTACGAAAGATAGACTAAAACAAATTATTCCTAATAAAAGGACGAAAAGAGCCCTGATAAATCCGTTAGGTTCAATTATTAAACTAATTACAGGTAATTTAGATGACGATGATGCAAAAAGATATAATTCAGAGATTAGTACGTTAAAAGACAGAGAACATTCAGTAGAAAAGAAACTGTCACTTATGCAAAAAGCTTTCGATAAACTAGTAAATGTTTCGGATGATTTGAATTATAATTTAATTCACTTAAATATTAAAACTGCACAATTGAAAACATTACAGTATAATCAAACTAACATACATAATATAGTAAGTCAAATGAATACCTTATACCAAATCTTAAATAACTTTCGTACTATTTACAATGTGATTCAAGAAGTAGAAACAGCAATAGCGTTTAGTAGAATCCACATACTTCACCAATCTATAATCAATTCAACAGAACTTTTTAATATATTGTCAGAAGTAGAAAAGTATCATAGATTAGTATATAAAGTAGATAAGAATAATCTTACGAAACTAGAAAGTACTATTGTTCTTAGGTCCTATTCTGATAACTATAAGTTAGTATTTGTGTTAGAAGTTCCTTTGTTAGATAAGGTCACATACAATTATTACAAGATCGTTCCTATACCTATATACAATCCTTATACCTTAAAAACCTTTATCATCATTCCAAAGTATCCTTACCTTATAGTGAATGGATTGAAATATAGACCCATTTCGACGCCATGCGAGAAAATCGATGCCAACCAGGTCCTCTGCAAAGAAGATAACATCGTGCAATACGCAGACACGACGTGCATCGAACAAATAATGCTATTGAAAAACTACTCTGCATGCCAAAAGGTCTTCATACAAATAGAAGATGAAAGAGTCTACAACGTAGCTGATGGAGTATGGTTACTCTTCTCAAAGTCAAGCGTCATACTTACCGAGAACTGCAACGATGAAATAATGAAGTACAATCTGAAAGGAACATTCCTGGTCAACCCCAATCCCAATTGCGAGACACAAATTGGAAGCAGAACCATCAATAAGGTAACCGAGACAAGGACACCCGAGTTAAGCTTACGACTGAGACCTGTAACGATGCCTGAACTACAGCAGGAAATCACGACAGATGAGAGCCAGATAGACCTTCGCGGCGTGGACCTTAGTGACGTTAAAGACATTTTAGAAAGTGCTAAAAATTATGATAGTGAAAGTGTCGGTAAAAGTGTTATAGTGATAACAAAGGACATAAGTGTATGGACAATAAGTATAGTAGTAATAATGACTCTGTCAGCCCTAGCATTTGTAATTGTAAAATTTAAGGTTTTTAGAAAATATTTTCTGATACGTCGAAATCATCTGGAACCAAAAGATTTGCCTCCAGCTGATTTCTCTCTTAAGGGGGGAGGAGTTAAGGGTGCCCACCCTATAGATATATGCTTTGTCAGCACTAATTCAGCTTAGCAACATAATTAGTAGGTATATAAGTCAGCATTATATAAAACACGTGTAGAATCTCTTGGAACATTTTGTGCTTACTCATTAGTTTACCTCTTTCGCAATAAGTAATATGACACCCTTATTGTACCAATAATTATTTGTAATTTCCATTAGAATTCATTCTGTTCTCAGACTTCGCTCAACAAACATTGTAACTCGATTTTATTAAATAAATTTTATTTTTATTATAAATCCGAGTTTCCGTTCCTTGACTCGCTCGCGCCAACAGTCGCCGCCGAAACGTTGAGTGAGTGAGTGTGTTCGACGATGCTCTGCGTTCCCGCCAATTTTCGCGGTTATTGAATTCGTTGTGGAAACTTCCAGCTCTAATCTATTACAACTAGTCACTCCCATTCTAAATAAACCAAAGTACATAACTTGTGAAAAACTAAAGTACGTAAAGAATGACCACATTTAACCGCTTGAGTAGTATATGCGACACAACAGAAAATACATACTTACGCAACGCAGATAATTACGATGTTAATTACTGCGATGCGATTTCGTGCGGCAACGCGTCTCCCAGGGTGACTATTCCTTCGACGACCGTCAACCGTACTAAACGTATTTTAAATTGAAAACTAGGTCGTGACATGGATCGTAAAAAGAAGTGTGCACTTCTGTTATTGCTTAGACCATACAGGAAAAAGTAACAAAAAAGATTTTGGGAAGATAAGATTTTAATGCGCGATGTGAATCAATTCGCAGTAGAGGGAGCGAGCCCTTAGCCAAACGACGGGTTAAAAACAATTCACTTTGCACGTTCTTTTTGTATCCATCATATTTTGGCAAATTCTAGGCGTGTTGTCTACATCCAATCATTCTTTCATCAACTCTATGTCCACCAGGTATAAGCGGGCAAGGCATCGGTTTCCAGGACTCGGAGAACCAAGTATGGTACATGCTGTTCATAGTGTTCGTGCCATACGCCATGTTACCTCTCTCCCTGATTTGGTGCATCGTCATCGGGACCCTGTCCTTCTTGGCACATATCCTGGCTACTGCGCTGGTCATCAAGGAACGCATGGATGATACTAGGAAAGCTGTTAATTGCAGTATTAATGTAAGTAATAAGATAATAAATAATAATAATTTATTTAAATACTTGGTGTATATTGGACACTTGGTAGCTGACGGATTTAAAAAAAAAATTGAAATTTCAAATGTTTTGCTTAAGAAATCATACTTCAATTGCGAATGCTTACAGTATACCGAGGGTTCGATTCCCAGATCCCAGATATAGCACTAGATTTAATAATTCTATCTACCATGTATACGATAGAATATATACCTATCATGTACAATCGATTACCTGTAAAGGGTCTCGGGTTCGATTCCAGGGTTAGGCAAAGTATTACTGGACTATTGAAAAATTGTCAATAGTAGCACGGTCTGGAATTGTACCCGGTATATGGCAATTGGGTCACCCTCTATTACAAGGGACTCATGATGTAAATAGTGAAAAGTGGGTGTTATATTGTACAGTGTCATTAAGTGCGCCTCTGCCTACCCCTTTGGAGATAAAAACCGTGATATATCAATCTATGCAATAAGTCACCAAATACGATATAGATACGAATTACGCAAGAGAATGTAAAATGTAAAAATACATTAATTTTTATATTTCGTTCTTACAGTTTTCTGATAAGTGTGTGAGTTTTTCAGCCTCCATAATCACATGATCTTTATAAACTGCTTTTAGATTCTTAGCAGCTTTTAATTACGTACTTAAGTGATATAATAATTTAATTATATTATTGTCTATTAGAAGCTTTCATGAATTTCACTTTCACGAAGCGCAACAATTTCGCTTTTTCGCCTACTTAGAAGTCTAATAAACCTAAATAAGTATTTTATGGTAATTCTTTTAGATTCTATTTAAAAATAAATTTTTAAATTCTAAGATTTACTGGACCTATGTAGAATTGATTACCTTAATAAAAGTAGATAGATTTAGGCTCATTCTTCTTCATTAAAGTCTGTTCTTTGAAACCAGCTAGACTTACGTATGTGTAGTTTTTCATTCTTGGAATTCATATATCAGATATAGAAAACGAAATTTTTCTGTAGTTTTCCCACGTAAAGAATATAGAGATCATTCATTGTGGAAATTTAAACTAACCTATCTTCTTCGGTATTTATATAAAATGCTACGTTTGATTACAAAGCATGGTAAAGAACTTAAATTAAAAAACAATACCCTTCCTACAGTTGGGTAAAACTAGTTCAAAAATATATAAACCTAATCCCGAAAAAGCCGGTGACGCACTTGTAACGCCTCTGGTGTTGCGGGTGTCCATGGGCGACGCCGATTGCTGACCATCAGGTGATCCGTCTGCTCGTTTACCGGCTTATGAATGCCATAAAAAAGTAAAGTTTCAATTAAGACCTTTCTACATTACCATTACCTAAAAATTACCTCTTACTCGGCGAAGTGACAGACCTGAATTAATAAAATACACAACTTACCTATTCTAAAGCATAGCTCACTATTTTTTACCAAACATTCTATTAATTTTCCTAGCACCCACTATAATGATATCATGAAACATTTTACTTCCACAGTCGTACACATGCAGTCTTCGCCTTATTATCGGTAACGCCTTGTTATACATAGCTGTCAACTTTGCTGGTATGTATGCCAAGTCACTCGCGGATTGGGGACAGAGGAAGGCGTTTTTGGAGACCAGGAGGTCGATGGTGACGAGGGAGAGGACTAAGAGGGAGAGTGACCGGCAGTGGAAGCTATTTCAGAGTGGTGAGGACTGATTTCATTTTAAATCCGTAGTCCGGAATTACTTTTCTACGCTAGACACTAATAAAAATGATAAAAATTCAAGGAGTACATAATTTATGAAGAACAAAACACTATAATTATACATCATTGCTTGGGCATTTTTTAAGGTTCTTAAAAATGTTTGAAACGATAAAGATAAGTTAAACACATTTGTTTACGTAAAAACATGGTATACAAAGATGTTATAGAGGTAGTTACAATAATAGGTAATAGATCATCATGTTTTGCTTAACAAAGAAAGAATGCAAATTTTAACCTATATATAACTTATTTTAACTAACTTACACTCGTAGTTATAGGTTATATATTATTATTTATGTTCAAAAAATTCCTTAATGCTATAAGCGAAACTTGCAATTGTATTATGACTGCACGGTTGGTGCGGTGGCTGGGCAACCGGCTGCCGTGCAACATGTCGCGGGTTCGATTCCCGCACGGAACAACACTTTGTGTGATCCACAAATTGTTGTTTCGGGTCTGAGTGTCATTGTGTATGTGAACTTGTATGTTTGTAAACGCACCCACGACACAGGAGACAATCCTAATGTGGGGCAACGTTTAAAAAAAAATTGGAATCAATTTCTTGTTTTGAAGAAGGTTCAAAAATAAAATTGCGAGTATTGTCAGTACGTGCATGCTGTGCTTGGTGCTAATAGGTTTATTTCTATGTCCATTGTCCAGTAGAGGAAGGAAAATGATACCGATGACAAAAAGTACCTAAATTAACCCGTTGATATTCGTTCCCTAAATTTGTTCATACAAAAGTAGTCTCTAAGCATTGGAAATAAGGTCTATAATGTAGTTAGTGGAGAGCGGTCACCGGTGACCGCTTGGGGATCTATGGGTACAAATATTTACATGTATTCAATACTACTCCTTGAAACTAAGCAATAGGGTTTAATTTTCTGTGCTTGTTCAGTTATACCAGACTTCCTGGCGAAGGAGATATACGGGCACGTGAACAAAGTGAAGGGAGAGTTTCAAGAGCAGCAGTTCAATAACCTTTACATACAGCAGCATCATGACGTCTCCATACTATACGCTGACATCAAAGGATTTACTGGTAAGCAATAATGGATTCTAAGTCTAGTGTTATAGGGTCTAGAACAGTCACAACACTGTATGTGTTTATGTTACAGTTCACGCATATGATGCTCAATACTCAATACGCAATATTTTACTGCTGTCCATATGTATGACATGATATGATATGACCCTTTCGGGTTGGGCATGTCTGCCAATATCGTGCAGAACCTACTTAATACCTATTGTTATTATCTTCTAGTTTTATAATTTAGCTTTTATCTTTTACTAGCTTTTACCCGCGGCTTCGCTCGCGTTACAAAAGGATAAAAAGTAGCCTATGTGACATATACCAATACTCACAGCGCCATCTATACCAATAATTTTGTTTTCCCTCGGGAATATCAATTTTTTTCGGGATAAAAAGTACCCTATTATTTAATCCAGACTACTAACTTTACGTCTGCAAAAAAACAATGCAATCGGTTAAGTAGTTACGGCGTGAAGGTGGAACAAACAAACAAACTCACTTTCAGATTTATAATATTATTATAGTAAGGATTCTCACTCTCTTGTGTTACACTTTTATATTAAATTGTATTGTATTGCTACTTTTTGTTCCTTGCATTCATGCCGTATGCCGAATAAAACTCTTTTCATTTCATTTCATATGAAGATAATTTCGTTTGTTTTAGAACTATCGAGTAAATGCAGTGCACAAGAGTTGGTGAAGCTACTGAATGAGTTGTTCGCCCGCTTCGACAGGTTGGCATCGGTGAGGTTTTGATTTATTTATATTTAATAGCTGGAATAGTGATTCACAGCTCCTTCCCCGTAGGTGATAGCGTGATAATATGTAGCCTATATGTTAAACCGACCTGTTAGTAATATTAATGCAAAATTTGAAGTAAATCCATGCAGTACTTTTTGAGTTTAATCCGGACATACATACAGACAAACAGACAAAAATTATGAAAACCATATATTTTGGCTTCGATGTCGATTGTAGATCACGCTTCAAGCATTATTTAAAAAAAAATTCAATGTACAGTTTTCACTTTTCCTACGACTTTATTATATGTATAGATAGATATATGTATATAGATTGTTAAGGAATCTTGTCTTAAACTTTTCTACTAACAAAGGCTGATTTTATGTGATTACTGTATTCTCAATGACTACATTCGTCTATCGTTCAGGAGAACCACTGCCTCCGTATCAAACTGCTTGGAGACTGCTACTTCTGTGTGAGTGGACTGCCAGACAGGCGCGAGGACCACGCCCACTGCTGCGTCAACATGGGCCTGCACATGATACGAGCCATCCGAGATGTACGATACAATGCACAGGTAAGAACAATTAGGAAGAAAGAAAGAAAGAAAGAAAGAAAAACATTCATATAGCACCAGGCACGATGCAGCATAAATAAAAAATAAAAAAGACAATCAAGATGTGACAGTGGAAGTAATAAAAATATAAGAGTTGAAAAATTGAAACAGAAGAATTAGAAAAGAGATGCTGAAAACATGCCTATGCTAAAAGGGTCACCCACTCAGTATAAATTCTTTTGTTCAATTGATTCAATTGGTCTTCAAATTGTTACAGTTCACGGTTGCCATTGGCATAATACCTGAATAGTTGCCGGACTTTTGGAATAAGGGTTTTGGTTGTTATTAATGATGGCCTTGTTGGCCGAGTGTTCCCAAGTGCGACTGCCGGCCAAAGGATCTAGGGTTCGATTCCCGGGTCGGGCAAAGTATTACTGGGTTTTTAAAAATCTCGGAGTCTCGAAATATGCCCGGTATATGGCAATAGGCTCACTCCCTATGACATGGGACTCATAACATAAATAGTGAAAAGTGGGTGTTACATTGTACAGTGGCATTAAGTGCCGAAATGTGCACCTCTGTCTACCCCTTCGGGGATAAAAAGGTGTGATGTTATGTTATGATGTTAAGAATAATTGTTCTTCTAACTAGTGGTGTTACAGTTAACGGTTGCCATTGGCGCAACACCTAAATCGTTGCCGGACTTTTGGGATTAGGGTATTAAGAATTGGAGGTTTGGTTTTTGAGAATGAGGGCATTGGAGTTCCAATAACCGCACTTACATTGTGAGCCATAGTATCACTCCGGTCAAGCCGGCCTATACGAGCATTTGTGCTAAAGCATTGTTCTCCTCTCCTACATTTATTTATTTCGACTGCACGGTTGGTGCGGTGGCTGGGCAACTGGCTACCGTGCAGCGTGGCACGGCTTCCCGCACGAAACAACACTTTGTGTGATCCACAAATTGTTGTTCCGGGTCTGGATGTCATGTGTATGTGAACTTGTATGTTTGTAAACGCATCCACTCATCCACGACACAGGAGAAAATGCTAGTGTCTATCAAATTAAAGTTGACTAAATGTTTCATGTATTTAATATAATAATTTGACTAAGGTTTAATAAATTAATGTAATAATTCAGTTATATTCTATAATGTAAGGTGATGACTTGACATATTTTTATTGTACCTAAAGATTTAACTGATGCAACATAAATTTTGTACCAAATATTTTGAGACTAGTAGAATAATCCAAATATCATAAACTATTGCGCACCTTATAGGTATGTTACTATGCTACTATTATTATAATATATGTAACATCTATTGTCAACATGTAACAAACAATAAATGAATTTGAATTCGTTACTCGATTACTTAAAAAAACATAATGAAAGTCTTATTTTCTAAAATCTAAGCTCTGAAATTGTTCTACGTCCAGGTGGACTTGGACATGCGCATCGGTATCCACAGCGGTAAGGTGCTCTGCGGAGTGCTGGGGCTCCTGAAGTGGCAGTTTGACCTGTGGTCACATGATGTCACCCTAGCTAACCACATGGAGAGTGGCGGCCTACCTGGGTAAGAAACTTTTATAAAATACTGACACACGCTTCATCAACAGCCTATAAATACCCACTGCTGAGCTAAGCCTCTTCTCACACGGAGAAGGTTAGAGCATTACTCACCTCGCTTGCTCAATGCGGGTTGGCGATTACAAACTTATAATTAGAAATTATAAGCCGAGGTTTCCTCACGATGTTTTCCTTCACCGTTTGTCAGTGGTGTCTGAATAATCTTAGAAAGTACATATAACTCGGAAAAAGTCACATTGGTACTTGCTGTTGGTAGGTTTCGAACCCCCACCCTCATGCGGACAGATGCTTAAAAAACGTGAAAGCATAAAACCTAGTCTAACATTATATATTTATTTCTAGCAGTCTCAAAAGACGTCAATCTTCTGAATCTATACTTAATATTATAAAGCTGAAGAGTTTGTTTTTTTGTTTGTTTGTTTGAATACGCTAATCTCCGAAACTACTGATTCGAATTGAATAATTCTTATTGTGTTGTATAGTCCATTTATCGAGAAAGGCTATAGGCTATAAAACATCTCGCTACGACCAACAGGAGCCGAGAAGAGCAGAGCTAGTTATCAATAATTTTTGCCAATATTTACAAAAAGACCACCCGTACCCATGTCTTTATTAATATAGAGGTATAAATAGTTAATGAGTGCTTCTCATTAACTATTTAGAACATAATTTTTAAATTATTGATTCTACTTATTTTTGTTTCTCACTTTTATCGCTTTTATTTTTTTTATTTTTTTTTTCAATACTGCCTTGTTGGCCGAGTGGTCGCAAGTGCGACTGTCGGACATGGTGTCTCGGGTTCGATTCCCGGGTCGGGCAAAGTATTACTGGGTTTTTTAAAATCTCAGTAGTAGCACGGAGTCTGGAAATGTGCCCGGTATATGGCAATAGGCTCACCCCCTATTACATGGGACTCATAACATAAATAGTGAACAGTGGGTATTACATTGTACAGTGGCATTAAATGCCGTAATGTGCACCTCTGCCTACCCCTTCGGGGATAAAAGGCGTGATGTTATGTATGTATTTTTTCAATATTTAATTTTACAGTCGCGTCCACATATCGTCTTCAACCCTTGAATGTCTGAACGGTGCGTTCGAAGTGGAGCCAGGCGACGGCGGGAGTCGGGACCCATACCTGCGGGAACACAATCCTGTCACCTACCTCATCAAGAGCACGGAGCAGCCTCGACGGATGCGACATCGGTCTAGAACTAGGTAAGCTATTGCGTATCATAAAAATAATTGAAACTCCAACGCATGTTTTGTTAAATCGAAGGTTTATTGATCCTGCTGAATGATTTAACAAACTATAAGAATAAGAACGTTTATTTGCACGAAGTATGGTAATTACAGGTAATAATAACATAACATAATATAATATCACGCCTTTTATCCCCGAAGGGGTAGGCAGAGATGCACATTATACCACTGTACAATGTAACATCCACTTTTCACTATTTATGTTATGAGTCCCATGTAATAGGGGTGAGCCTATTGCCATATACCGGGCACAATTCCAGACTCCGTGCTACTACTGAGAATTTTTGTTAAAAACCCAGTAATACTTTGCCCGACCCGGGAATCGAACCCGAGACCCCTTGCCCTGCAGTCGCACTTGCGACCACTCGGCCAACGAGGCAGTAACGAGCAGACAGGTAATAATAATTGTAAAAAAATAGTCCCACATACATCGCCTACTGTTTTCGGCATGTAAAGTTAAATTTTACAATACAATAAAGTTAAAATGTTACAATTAATAAAACCAATTACAAAAATGCTTACAACTAGGATAACATATTATTTCTCCTAACATATTATTATTACTTCTTTTCTTTATTCACATATTTATCACTAGCTTTTACCCGCGGCTTCGCTCGCGTCACAAAAGGATAAAAAGCCAATGTGACATTATACCTATACACACAGCGCCATCTATACCAATACTTTTGTTTTCCCTCGGGAATATCAAATTTTTCCGGGATAAAAAGTACCCTATTATTTAATCTGGACTTCTAACTTTACGTCTGCAAAATTTCAAAGCAATCGGTTTAGTAGGTACGGCGTGAAAGTGGAACAAACAAACTCACTTTCCGATTTATAATATTAGTAAGGATTTTAGTGGCTTACTAAATAACAACACACTATGTGCTGTAAGCCAAGCAATTTTTCGCATCATCGCTTACCACCAGGCTAGATAGTGGTCAAACATAGGCCCATTAAATATATAAAAAAAATCTATGAAATATTTCCATAACTTAAGTAGTAGGTACTAAGTTACGCTTATTAGTCAGTTATATCTCAGTTTTAATATTGCTTTCTCAAAGAAATTAATATTGGTGAATATTACATTATATTAAACTAAATATATTATTACAAGTACCTATTATTATTATTAAAAGCATTACTGGGTTTTAAAAAAAATCTCAGTAGTAGCTTGGAGTCTGGAATTGTGCCCGGTATATGGAAATAGGCTCAACCCCTATTACATGGGACTCATAACATAAATAGTGAAAAGTGGGTGTTACATTGTACAGTGGCATAATGTACACCTCTGTCTACCCCTTCGGGGATAAAAGGCGTGATGTTATATTATGTATTATGTTAACTAAAAATATTACATTAAATTAAACTCTTCACCCCATCTGCAGTGTACCACAACAACCTCAAACTAACTGGGAATCCACACCGCGACGACCGAGCAGCTCCATCGATGAAGAGATGACAGCTGACTGGACACCTGAGATGCCCTTCCAAAATGTAAGAAATACTGTCTGGAACTATCTCCCATCTAATTGTGATTTGAAGTCATAATCGAAGACAAAGATCTCACGGATTTTTGAACAGGTTTTGATATAGGCAGACGTGAATGCTTGATATATTTTTTCGGCATTGATTTACTGTCTATCTGCGATTTAAGTACCTATTCCATTCCTTTACTTTCTTCATTCGTATTCCTATCATTTCTAGGTACTTTTATTTCAATCCATTATCCCCATTACCTAGTGACCTCTTAACAAAAGAGCATTATCCTCTACAGAATAAACTGAAAATCAAAGTCTTTATTTGCATATTAAGGTATATACATACAGGTCGTATGAAATAACAGGCACAGCTTAAATAACGGCCTTTTTCAGGCGTTGCAAATTTTAGGGCTGTAGCTTATTATAAACTAGCTTCTGCCCGCGACTTCGTACGCGTAATCCCATTTTTTCCCGTCCCCGTTCGTGATTTTCGGTAAAAAGTAAAAAAAAATAATTTTGGTTAGAAAGTACCTATCCTATGTCGGTCTCCTGGCTCTAAGCTACCTCCCTACCAATTTTCAGCCAAATCTATTCTGCCATTCTTGAGTTATAAGTGGTGTAACTAACACGACTTTCTTTTATATAGATACTAGTACTTCTGCCCGCGACTTCGTACGCGCAATCCCGTTCTTTCCCGTTCCCATTCGTGATTTTCGGTAAAAAGAAAAAAAAATTCGATGAAAAAGTATCCTATGTCCGTCTCCTGGTTCTAATCTACCTCCCCACCAATTGTCATCCAAATCGATGAAGCCGTTCTTGAGTTATAAGTAGTGTAACTAACACAACTTTCTTTTATATATAGATATATATATATATATATATATATATATATATATATAAGATTACATTTGCTTAACATTTATTGATTTGTTCGGAATATATTAGTGGGTTAGTGTTAAATGTAAGAATACCACAGTTGACATGGAAACTATTAAAAAACAACTTTTCTTCACAGTATTACGTGAGCAGTGCAGCGAGAGTAGCGAGAGCCTTCAACAGAAATCATGACGACAATAAACAAGATCCGGAAATCGATGACGTGCCTCCACTCGCTGATGTCGAAGTAAGATATGAAATTAGTACTCAGTGGCAGTTATTTTTTAAAGTACCTTTTAGCCCTCTGATTGGTTGGTTTATTTAGAGTGGTTTGCCACGATTGGCGCGGTGGCTCGGCAACCGGCAACCAACTTGTAGCGGGTTCGATTCCCGCACGGAGCAACTCTTTGTGTGATCCACAAATTGTTTTTTCGGGTCTGGGTGTCATAGAAAGAAAGAAAGAAAGAAAAATCATTTATTTAGCACCAGGCACGATGCAGCATAAATAAAAAATAAAAAAAGACAATCAAGATGTGACAGTGGAAGTAATAAAAATAAAGTCATGTGTATGTGATATTGTATGTTTGTAAATGCACCCACGATACAGGAGACTGTAATGACCTGGGTTCAGGTAACTGGGTGATGAAAGATTAAACCGCGGCAATAGGTACATAAAATTTATTCAACATTGACAATAATATTAAACTAAACTAAATAACTGTAAATCACTAAAAAAAAACATAGAAAAGGCATAAAACCTAAATAAAACAGTAAAATCAGAATACAGGAAAAAATGAATTATAACAAAAGTTTTCTGAGACTTGGGTTCGAACCCGAGTTCAACCGTGTCGACGTATACGATGCTACACCCCGAGACCAACTGGTTACTTGAGAACAATGGTGAAAATCTTAATCTCTATGCGTCAGGATCAACTGGCGTAACGGAGGCTGAATCACAGTCCTAAAGTTTCTCCCGAATAATTAAGGGCGTATCCGCAAGCTGAGGACAATGTAAAAACAATCAGCCTTGCAAAATATTGCCGATGATCCAGTGTACACTTCCGTAAAGTAAACGCAAACACTTACCCCGTTACTGCAACCACACTCACTTGTCACTGGCAATAATACTTATATATTTATTATTCATTACAGATTTCTGATCAATTATGGCTTTGAGTTACAGCAATTATGCAAATTAAATGAGGACCCGTAAGCTGTCTCCTTTCTTTATATAATCGTCATCTGTCAGATTTATTTTTTTTCATTTTCTTTTACTGCCACCCTCACTTGACCATAATAAATATATGATTTATATTAATGTGGCTAGCCTAGTAACGCCATCTATTAATGCACTTAAGAACCAAATATCGATCATTACAATATCCCCTCTCCTCTGAGGAATCCAACCGGATTCAAACCAAACGTTTAAGGTCACAAGAATGCCATTTTCCTAAATCTTTTCCCTTGAAACTCTTTAGTCTGTAAACGTCGTCTGATATCTTTTCGGCTACGACTGCTTTTTCAAACTTAGGTGCCAATTTGGACATAAAAGACTTGTCAGCATTCGATAGCGGCTTAGTGCGCTTCCAAACCAGATCACCCTCATTATATCTACAAGTACGACGTCTCTTATTGTACTGATCACTGTTGGTCTCATGTGACTGCCGCATTCTTTCAGAAACTTCCTCATAAATTTTATTTCTGAAGGCCATATTTCTTTCAAATCTCTCTTTATTGAAAGTTATCGGTTGACCCGGTTCAAAGTTGTAAGGTTTCATGCCCCGGATTATTGTTTCGCGTCCAAAAAACAAATACGCTGGCGTTTTCCGGTCACTTCATGAACCGATGTCCTGATTGCATGACTATGTGTGGTATATACTTGTCCCATTCCTTGTGATTATCTTCCACGTAAGAAGCTATAGCCGAGCCAATGACCTTGTTTACTCGTTCAGTGGGATTAGCCTGAGGATGATAATAAGGAGTGTACCATAGTTTTACACCGTACTCTGAAACTAAATCCTTAAACTGGTTGGATACAAATTGCTTCCCATTATCACAAACTATTACGCTGGGGGTTCCATACATTAAAAATATATCTTCCTCCAGTATTCGAGCTATAGTTGATGACTTTCCATTCCGGAGAGGGTACAAAAAACAGAATTTGCTGAACCAGCACGTGATGACTAACAGCATAGTATTACCATGCTTCGATTTTGGAAAGGGTCCCATTAAGTCCATTGATATAATTTGAAAAGGTTCTGATACCTCTCGTTGCTTTCCCATTAAACCTGATGGCTTACTTTGTGAGTACTTATACTTCGCACACACTTCACATTTCCGTACAAAGTCTTTCATGTCCTTTATTAATGTCGGCCAGAAATATCGCTGTCTTGCTCGGTTGACTGACTTTTTAACACCAAAGTGGCCAGCTGTGGGGTCATCATGGCATTCCTTCAGGATGCCTTGGCGAAGCGTTTCGGGAATCACAAGTTTCCAACTGTCATTTTCATCTGGAAATTGCTTTAATTGCAAATGTTTCCACAGTTGTCCTTGGCTAACCTCCCAATCCGGTTCATTCTTCCCAGACAGCACCAAGTCTTCTTTTGATTTATACCAGTCATCTTTATCTTTGGTTTATTTTCTAAAATGTTAATTTCTTCCTCAATCGCTCTTGATAAAGCATCCGGCACAGTGTTGTATTTACCTTTACGGTGGACTATTTCATAATCAAATTGCTGTAAGCGCATTGCCCACCTCGCCAAACGTCCGTGAGGATCCTTGTTACGGTGTAGCCACTGAAGGGCGCTATGGTCCGTGATGACTTTAAAGTGATTCCCTTCTACATATGGACGAAATTGTTCTACAGCATGTAGAACACTCAATAGTTCTCGCTCAGATGCTGAGTACTTGCATTCCCTTTCCGATAATTTTCTGCTCGTGTAAGCGATTGGAGCCTCGAGTCCGTCGACTATCTATATATATAAAATTCAAAGGTGATTGACTGACTGACTGACTGACATAGTGATCTATCAACGCACAGCCCAAACCGCTGGACAGATTGGGCTAAAATTTGGCATACAGATAGATGTTATGACGTAGGCATCCGCTAAGAAAGGATTTTGATAATTTCCACCCCCAAGGGGGTAAAAAAGGGGATGAAAGTTTGTATGAAACTTTGTCAGTTTTTAACTGATCGGGTTGAAATTTGGCATGCAGATAGATGTTATGACGTAAGCATCCGATGTGAAAGGATTTTGATAATTTCCACCCCCAAGGGGGTAAAATAGGGGATGAAAGTTTGTATGAGACTTTATCAGTTTTAAACCGATCGGGTTGAAATTTGGCATGCAGATAGATGTTATGACGTAAGCATCCGATGTGAAAGGATTTTGATAATTTCCACCCCCAATGGGGGTAAAATAGGGATGAAAGTTTGTATGAGACTTTGTCAGTTTTAAACCGATCGGGTTGTAATTTGGCATGCAGATAGATGTTGTGACGTAAGCATCCGATGTGAAAGGATTTTGATAATTTCCACCCCCAAGGGGGTAAAATAGCGGATGAAAGTTTGTATGAGACATTGTCAGTTTTAAATCGATCGGGTTGAAATTTGGCATGCAGATAGATGTTATGACGTAGTCATCCGCTGTGAAAGGATTTTGATAATTTTCACCCCCAAGTGGGTAAAATAGGGGATGGAAGTTTGTATGATACTTTGCCAGTTTTAAATTGATCGGGCTGAGACTTTGCATGCATAAAGTTACTATGACATATCTCTTTAGAAAGGATTTTGATAAATTCCACCTCTAAGGGGATAAAATAGGGAATGAGAGTTTGTATAAATCTTCTTAGCTGTTGAATTTAGAATCATTGAATCTTTTTGAATTACATTCGGTAAAACGATGATTTACTACCTGGGTAACGTATGATAGTTTTTTCACAGATGTCTCACGAGAACGGGAACTATGCGTCAATGTCCCAGGACTCTCTAACTCTTAACCACTGAACTTATTCTAGAGACATTCGGTACAACAATAGTCGATAGAATAGTTTTTATTACTCAAACCTTACGTGGTCAGGCACTGTACTGGTAAGATCCCTGCGGGATTATTTATTTATTGAAACTACGATATATCATTTCAAAATAGGTAAATCTTACTTGGGCACTGAATTGATTCTGGTTAAATCATTAATCTACGCGGACGAAGTCGCGGGCAACAGCTAGTTTGAATTAAAACTGCACCAGTTCCCCTGTTAGAGGCGTCACATTGAATAGAAAAGGGTTTGGTGAAATCTGGCACTCTTAACACTGGTGTCGAGGTCAAGGCAGTCTTCAGGTTTAAGAAAGAATCTTCTGCCTCTTTATTCCATTCTATACATTTAGTCCTCTTGCCTCCTTTAGTTAATTCATGAAGCGGAGCTGCGACAATGGCAAAATTTTCCACAAACCGCCTGTACCAACTAGCTAGACCAACGAATCGCTTTAGTTCCGTGTAAGTAGTAGGCCTGGGATAGTCGAGAATCGCCTTCACTTTATCTGGGTCGGTACGTAATCCTTCCTTGTCTACGATGTAGCCCAAGTATTTTAATGATGATCTCGCAAATACACATTTCTCCAGATTTATCGTTAATCCTGCCTCTTTAAGCTGATTTTTGACATGTGACAATGACGATAAATGGTTTTCAAAACTGCTGTCACAAATGACGATGTCATCCAAATATGTAAACACTCGAGTCTCAAATGCGGCGTAAAAACCGATCCATCAATCGTTGTTGTGTTTGGGAAGCGTTGACTAGTCCAAACGGCATGACTTTAAACTGATAAAGTCCTTTTTCCCGCGAGTCAAAAGCTGTCTTTTCCTTGCTGGTTTCTTCAAGCGGTATTTGCCAGAAAGCTGATCGTAAATCAATAGTAGACAGAAACTGAGCATTTTTTAGACTGTCTAAGATGGTTGTAACCCTAGGCAAGGGATAAGAATTTTATTGTAATCTTATTTAACTGGCGACTGTCGAGGCACAATCGATTCTTACCCGAAGTCTTTTTCACTGTAATACTGGAGAACGCCATGAACTAAAGGAGGGCTCTATACGTCATTGTCAGCATATCCTGAATTTCCTTCTCAAGCTCTGCCATAATTGGGGGAGCAAAGGGGTACTGCCTATGTTTGACGGGCAAGCTGTCCCGGTATCGATTCTGTGCTTGATCAACGATGTTCTTCCCAAACCTTTACCAATATCTGCTGCCATTTAAAACGTTTGTCGAGCCGCTCTTTCTGTGAGGCCGACAGTTCATCTCGCGAGATCATGGTAGCTGTTACCTTTATTCCGAGATGTTAATCATTGGTTTGCCTGCCCTATTGCTAAATTGAATAATTCAAAGAAATTCATGCCTAAGATAATATCATGTTTTAAACAATCCATGATATAAAAATCTACACATTATATTTTCCATAAACTCAATGGGTAAATGCACAATGGAATCATTGTATGGTAAGTGCCATCTGCCGTAGATTACCATTTCCTTGTCAACTTTTGCTTGAAAACCCTAATTTCATAAACGTTGCAAATTGCGGAGAATTACTGAGATAGTGGCTCCAGAATCTAATAATAAAATGGCTGATTCAAGATTGTTGTTCAGCATAATATCGATTATCTTGACTGTGTTTATTAATGTTATGTATTTTCCCGTTTTCCAAAAATATTGAAACCGTGTGTAGCCATTGTTTCAGTCATCGAGATAGAATGACTTAGTTTTTCGGGGTACGATCGGCCGGCATCGACTCCGACTTGTCGTTTCCCTTATCAGTGGTATTGCATGGGCATTTATTTGTCGTTTTCCCGAAAACGTCCACTATAACAGAAGAGTCTCTGTTTTGGCAACTTACAATCCTGAAGCGATGGCCTGGAGATTGCAGTTCCAGCACTTCGTCAACTGCACTTTCTATTATCTATAGCTGCTTCAGTCGTATCATCGTTTCGTGAGGTCTCGAAGTATTACCCTTGTATGCTAAATCTTTTTCCAATGAATAATCACTTTGGGTAGGTTCTTTAAAATTTTCACAGCTCAACTTGGTGCATTCAATAATCTGAGACTGCAGTTAATTCGCCCATGAATCGAAAGTATCTCGACATATATTTTGAAAGTATGGTTGTAAATTTCTTCTAAGTATTATTAATTTTTGCGTTTCTGGAATTGGGGTAGGTAGTCGATTAAACATATTCTGCATAATAGCTATATAGACGAAACTCTTCCTGATTACTTTGAGTTCGACGCTTAATTTCTTCCAATAGCTCTTCTTGATAATACGGTCGCTGAAATGTGTCTAACAGTAGCCTAACCAATTGTGACCATTTGCGCTGAATTTTTATTAGCCTAAACCATATACGCTTCTTTCAAAGAAGTCTATGGCGTAGCGAAACAAGTCTTCATCGGTAGCATTCCGCGCCTCTTTAAGTTCCTCAATTTTTCCAAGAACGCGTTTACACTTATGGTGTTACCACTAAACTTGACACCCCAATCTTTAATCGGTACCAACTTCCGTTTGTGAAACATTATCAATGTAGAAGTCCTTTGTAAACCAAGATGACATGAGGAATGACTAGGTCTCAAGACGGGAGGTGGTGTATCAGCCTCAGCCACCGCGATTGTGGAGCTCGATCTTGATGTATTTGAGTGTTAGTACCCTTCGGTAAAGAATTGTTCTCTGGGTCTCGGCACTTTTCCAACTGTTCCATAATCTGTATGGCCTCTTCGCCAAGCGACTTCTGTAAGATGTCCTTATCCTGTTCAGAAATTTCCTCATCATCTCACCTTCTTCTTGCTCAGTTGTCTTAATGACGATAGGTATCTTGAATATTCTTTAGCAAGGTCGAATGATTCGCAATATCACTAGACTCGAGGGTATTATTAGTTTAGCACGATTTGACAAGTGTGTCAAAGAGAGTGTATGCGTTTACAAAACGAGTGCTCAGGACTGTGTGATATTCAGAATAAGTAAATTAATAGCTGATAATTTTTTTTACAAGTTAATATTTCATCTTTTGGATTCTCGATGCATGATTAGGTGCCTTAAAGGAAATAGAGGGACTCACCTGACTGCTCGGAACTAAAATTCTCGCAAAAATTTCCGCATAGTCGCACGGTTTTACAATCAGAAAACATGCCAACTCAAACTCGAGCTCATCTTCATATAATGCATTAACATCCATGACTAAGCAATAATAGAACTTTAATAATCAAACATATTTACTTGATGAATATAATACTTACTACCTACCACTACCACGAAATTACAATATCTGTCGGAATGAATGCTACTTTTACACTGTTACAAAGAATCTCTTTACATACACCTTGTTAATCCTTCATTCAGTTAACCTTGGGCGCCAATGTAATGACCTGGGTTCAGGTAACTGGGTGATGAAAGATTAAACCGCGGCAATAGGTACATTAAAATTTATTAAATTGACAATAATATTAAACTAAACTAAATAACTGTAAATACTAAAAAAAAACATAGAAAAGGCATAAAACTAAATAAAACAGTAATCAGAATACAGGAAAAAATGAAATATAACAAAAGTTTTCTAAGGCTTGGGTTCGAACCCGAGTTCAACCGTGTCGACGTATACGATGCTACACCCCGAGACCAACTGGTTACTTGAGAACAATGGTGAAAATCTTAATCTCTATGCGTCAGGATCAACTGGCGTAACGGAGGCTGAATCACAGTCCTAAAGTTTCTCCCGAATAATTAAGGGCGTATCCGCAAGCTGAGGACAATGTAAAAACAATCAGCCTTGCAAAATATTGCCGATGATCCAGTGTACACTTCCGTAAAGTAAACGCAAACACTTACCCCGTTACTGCAACCACACTCACTTGTCACTGGCAATAATACTTATATATTTATTATTCATTACAGATTTCTGATCAATTATGGCTTTGAGTTACAGCAATTATGCAAATTAAATGAGGACCCGTAAGCTGTCTCCTTTCTTTATATAATCGTCATCTGTCAGATTTATTTTTTTTCATTTTCTTTTACTGCCACCCTCACTTGACCATAATAAATATATGATTTATATTAATGTGGCTAGCCTAGTAACGCCATCTATTAATGCACTTAAGAACCAAATATCGATCATTACAAGACAATCATAGTGTGGGGCAATGTATAAAAAAAAGAGTTGGCCAATCAGAACACCAAACGTCATAAAAGTGTCGATCGTTTTTTTAACGTTAAGCAAATTCCCATAAGGCTCTCTGAATATAAAGTAACACCTACTTTCTTAACTGTACCTAACAACCCTTATAGCTGTCGATTTACGAAAGGAAATTAAGAATTTAGGTGAAATAGGAAACAAATTACTCGTGATTGCCAACGTCGGTTTCAGATTGGTTGAAATATGATTTGGTTATTGGGTTATTGAGTAAATAAGATAAATTAAAACGATATAAAAATTTTACCTGAATATAGAGGTTGTTTCTTTTAATCATGCTATAAGCTACACTTACTTATGTTTTCCTAGTACTAAAGATTAAATCTTTTGAATTTTGAATAACCGTAATTTTTTTTTACCCGACTACGGCGAATTCAAAAGGAGGATATATGTATGTTTATCAGTTCCTCCTAACTTCTAAGCTATAGGTCATAATATAAGAAATGGTGTATCATTAGAAGCGTCTCATTAGTCCACTAGTTATAGGCAACATAAAACTATATGAAATCATATGGCGCCCTGTACTCTAGAGGCCAAAAAGTCGTGAATAAAAAAATAAGTTTATTATCTCTGATTAATAATAATTATTACTTTTATCTTTAAAACTATACATACCAGGCACAAAATGACTGAATGTACGGATACGAGAATGACATTGATCTACAAAATGTGCTAGTAAATTGGCATGTAAGTAAACGCGCCCACGACACAATATAAAACTCTTATATTCTCATTATCATACTGTCGTGGTGGCCCGGAGGTTTAAGACGCCCACTTCTCATGCAGAAGGGAACAGGTTCGAAACCTATCAATAGCTAGTACCAATGTGACTTTTTCCGAGTTATATGTACTTTCTAAGATTATCTCGACACCACTGACAAACGGTGAAGGAAAACATCGTGAGGAAACCTGGGCTTATAATTTCTAATTATAAGTTTGTAATCGCCAACCCGCATTGAGCAAGCGTGGTGATTAATGCTCAAAACCTTCTCCGTGTGAAAAGAGGCTTTGCTCAGCAGTGGGCATTTATGAGCTATTTTGATGATGATAATGTTCTCATTGGGACAATTAGATTAATCATATTTCATAATTATGCTAAAAAATACTCGTTTACTTGCAGGAAGACGACATAATAAACCACTCAATAGAGGTGAAGTCTAACCGTCGTATGCGCGTGAGCAACATGCACGGCTGGTCGCTGAAGTTCAGACGCCCGTCATTGGAGGACAAGTTCGGACAGGTCGACGAGAAGACATTCAAATCTAATGTCATGTGCTGTCTAGTGCTGTGGCTGTTCATAGTCGCTGTGCAGAGCTTAGTGCATTTCAAGTAAGTTTGTATTCAATTTTTTGTCACAAAGAGTTACTTTGAGTACCGTCATTATAGACACAATTAAAGAATAATAGGTTGCAGTCACCGGTGTCCTCGCGTTGTTTGACTGTTTAAAACATTGGAGGTGAGGTACTAAAATAATTCACATAATATAATGCTAATTGTGGTTTTGAAATGTTCGTGAAAATCAAGAAAGGGTTTTAAAGGTGAGAAAAAATTTGTTAGGTGGTATGAAGTTTGAAACTGTCAAACACCGCGAGTTTGACAGTTTCAGAGGATGGGAAGTCGACTAAATGCCACGAGCACCACCTGGTAGGGGGGTGAGCTAGATAGGGCTCTAGGTAGAGAGTTCAGAGATTTTCATCTGAACTTATCTGTTATTAACGAGAATCAGATGAATTTGCCACGGGCCCCGAACGATATAGTTACGTTTGTATGTTTTTAATATATTTGTATATTTTTGTAATTTCTAAGGTTTCGTAGTCGATCACTGGCGAAGCAAGTTGTTTCTTTACAGATTGCGTCTATTCCGTCTGTTTCTCTGTTACACTTCACAATATTATTTTATTTTTGTAAGTATTTGATGAAATGTATTCTAAGGCAACACACGATTGTATTCATCAATTTTAAATTTGATAATAATAAGTTCCCTGTTTCCATATCATGAAGTAACAGCGCTGGGTGTCTGGAGAATTTTAAAACAATCGTTCACTTGATGATGTTGATGCCCATAGTTCTAATGAGAAACGAAATCTAAGAAACAGTGCTGTATAATGACAATAGTTTCATACGTCTTTTGTTATACAAGGTGTAGTTTTGAAGCCGTGTCATTTCTCGGGAGCATGTCACAGAAGTCATAATGGTTCAACGTAAGAGAAAGTTTTGGGCCAATAGTTAAAAATACGGTTATAATAAATCGTTTAAGTTCGACAGTATTTCAGAATAAGCGACAGCAATGTTTCTTATGGGAGTTTTATGGAATTAGGAATAATATCAATTACATAGGTACTTATTTGAGTTTGTTTGTGTTGAGCCGCGTTATAAAGCTAGTTACAAGACTGCGGCGTGTAGTTCGCACTTACGGATTTCAGTAATTTACAGGAAAATGAAAAATATTTATTGATTCGGACTCAGAATCGATAGCCGAGTTACCTCCTAGAAAATGATGCGGCTTTAAAACAACATCTTGTATAATACTAACAACATTTTCTTGAGTTTTGCAGTTAATTTTAATTTGTTTTCAGTTGCCACTACCTGGTGATAATTCTAGCGGCGATGACGGTTCCCTTCACTCTCTCCTTCGTGCTGGTGATGCTGGAAGAGTTTCCTGGTATCTTACCACGTCTCTCTAAGGTCTCCGCCTACCTCAGCTCCACGCGGACTATCAAGAATATTCATATCTGCTGCTTCATAACTGCCATGTCTTTGTCCAGGTAAATTTCGGTGTTCATTCGCTGTCAGATTCATATACAATTTCTTACTGTTTGTTTTGTTAGCTCTTAGTTTTCCAAATATGTTAAATAAGTTAAGTTAAAGATGTCTTGCAAAATCATTTTAAGCCGTTTAAATTTCATTCTATTTTAATGTATTCTTTACAAGTTCAACTTAAGTTGACTGCCTCGTTGGCCGAGTGGTCGCAAGCGCAACTGCCGGGCAAGGGGTCTCGGGTTCGATTCCCGGGTCGGGCAAAGTATTAGGTACTGGGTTTTTAAAAAACTCTCAGTAGTCATGGAGTCTGGAATGCGGTATATGGTAATAGGCTCACCACCTATTACATGGGACTCATAACATAAATAGTGAAAAGTGGGTGTTACATTGTACAGTGGCATAATGTGCACCTCTACCTACAGGGATAAAAGGCGTGATGTTATGTTATGTTCAACTTAAGTACAATAGATTTACTTTTTATTTCGTTTAACAAAAAGTAAACAATAACTGTTCTCCAGCGTGAACTTCACAATTATTTTGTACACTTCCACGAAATGTGAATTCCTTATTGCTAAATCGTATGCAGTGTTGTGTGCTTAGATAAGTACCTATCATAGTAACTTCTAAAGTAATTAAAATCATCATCATCATCAACAGCCTATAAATGCCCACTGCTGAGCAAAGCCTCTTCTCACACGGAGAAGGTTTGAGCATTAATCACCACGCTTGCTCAATGCGTGTTGGCGATTACAAACTTATAATTAGAAATTATAAGCCTAGGTTTCCTCACGATGTTTTCCTTCACCGTTTGTCAGTGGTGTCTGAATAATCTTAGAAAGTACATATAACTCGGAAAAAGTCACATTGGTACTTGCCGTTGGTAAGTTTCGAACCCGCACCCTCATGCATGAGAAGCGGGCGTCTTAAACCTCCGTGCCACTACGACATAACATAATATCTTAATTTATTTTGACAAGTAAAATCATAATATCTTAATTTCCACAGCACAATAAAACTGTACGTGTGTCCGCCGTCATTTGTTCCCGAGTCTATAATCGACGCAGCTTCCTCGAATGTTTCATGTAACATAACGGACTCCGAATTGAATGATCCAGGTTAGCTAGTTCAACTAGTTTTTCCTCATACTTATACTTCATAATAATCTACCAAAGAAACCAAAAAGGTGTTATTTTTTAAAACTGACAGTCTAGTCAGTTCCAATCTTTTTAAATATTTGAAAACATGATACGACATTGCATGCATCTGTGCCTTTAGCCAAATGCCACTTTAGCGCTTGTCTACAGATAGAGTAGAAAACTAAATGTATGGGAATGACACTGGTAAGTGTCAACATTTCCGACAATTCCATACAATTTGGTTTTCTATTCTACATGTAGACAAGCGCTCAATGGCATTTACAGCTGCTGGCAAGAAAAGAACGAGCAAACTCCTTTAAAAAAGTTATTTAACACATCCGTAACTATTTTAGTGTTGCCGGTGTCTATGGGCAGTACAAAACGCTTATTTGCCCTCCTACTGTATCAGAAAAACTATAGTTTCTTTAGCCATCGAATCACTACAGTAAAGCAATAATCTCCTATTCCCCGCAGACGAGTGCTACCGGCCGGAGTACGTGGTGTTCACGTGGGTGCTGTGCCTGGTGGCGCTGACGTCGGTGCTGAAGCTGTACTACCTCATCAAGACGCTGCTGGCCACCGTCAACGTGCTGATGTACTGCATCCTTCTGCTCCGCTTCTACAACTATAAGAACTATAACCAAAGTACGCACACGTGAGTATTTTATTTATTTATTTATCTGTAGCTCCGATTTTTAGATTCTGATGACGTATTTGTATTGTAACTTTCGTGAGACATACTAAATAAATTATTATGTTTTCGGCTCACTCACGTAATAATTTGACGAGGAACTCGACTAGTTTCAAGCCATGCTAGAGGCTCATATTCATGAGCAGCATTTCGCGACCCGCGACGCGGCGAATCGATCGATAAACAACTAATCGAGTTCCTCGTCAAATTACTACGTGAGTAAGCCGAAAACATAATAATTTACTGATGACGTATTTAATGTTTACATAATTAAATGATTAGAGACAAGCTTCGGCACGAATGGGCCGGCTCGACCGGAGTGATACCACGGCTTCACAGATAACCGACGTGAAACAACAGTTGCGGTGTGTTTCGTCGTGAGGTTACCGGAGTTTACCGGCTTATACCATAAAAAAGCAATACAGTACAAAAATGTCATGATACCGCAACAAAAAATAGACCTTTCTGTTTTGGTGCTGACAATCCATGAGGAGACTGCGATAATACTACATGAATGGTGTTTTTACGCTTTAACAAAAACTTGTGACAGATAAATAATTTGTTATAACTAAAGTCTGTATCCTAAATTTTCTACTTCCAGCACATTGCCAGCCTACGTGCAAATGTTGATCTTGATGGCAGTGTTCCTAGTGGTAGTGATATACCACGGGCGGCTGGTTGAAGTGACGTCACGCCTCGACTTCATATGGAAGCTGCAGGCGGAGACAGACCTGGATGAGATGGAGGACACACAGAAGACGAACAGACATCTCCTCAAACATATCCTGCCGGATCACGTCGTTGTACACTTCTTGAGTAGGGATTGGTGTCCTGATGTAAGTTTGATTTTTATAAAGATTATTTTTTAATTATAGTAGTACAAGATTTATCTGACGATTAGCCATGGTCTTCAAAATTATTTTACCACCTATTTTATATTCCCCAAGTCACTTAATTAAGAAGTTTACAAGTTCATTTACCCCATCTTATACTATTATATAAAGCGGAAGAGTTTGCTTTTTTTGTTTGTTTATTTGAATGCACTAATCTCCGTAACTACAAGTCTGATTTGAATAATTCTTTTTGTGTTGGATAGTACATTTATCGAGGATGGCTATAGGCTATAAAACATCACGCTATGACCAAAAGGAGCTGAGCAAAGCGTGTGAAACCGCGCGGATGTAGCTAGTATTCCATAACTCTTAAGAATAACTGTAAAATGTCTTTCTCGTTCTTTTGTGGATTTTTATGGGATACGCTTTGGAATCAACAAGCTTCTCAAACTGACTGATGGACAGTTCCATTCTGATTTATAAAAACGTCAGTTTGACTTTATGCACTTTGTTTCCAGGAGCTATACTCCCAGTGGCGCGACGAGGTGGGCGTGATGTTCGCCGGCATCCCCAACTTTGACGAGTTCTACTCGGAAGAGAAGGCGGTGGAGTGCATGCGAGTGCTCAACGAGATCATTTGTAATGTACCAACCGAACTCATTTTTATAACTGCTTATTTACGTCCATTAACACCCTTACATCCTAGACCCTGTAGAGTATTTAACCAACTTGTCACTCTTGTATAGAGATGATAAACATATTTAGCGATTAACCCCTGGTATACCGGGGACGTATTGTCAAAGGTCAAAAGTCCACTGCCACCGAAAGTCTACTATCGGTTGCGCTGCAGCGCTTATACAAACATGTACACGCATATTTGTATCCGTGTGCGTACGCGTGCGTGTGTTTATGCGTACGCACGCGTTTTTATGCACATTCATATAAAATTACTTACGTATTGTTTAAAAAAATGTTAACTTCATTTATCAAATGTTGCTGTGCCCTTACGGGGTCCATAAATGTAACTTAGCTTTAAGCCTATTGTAGCACCTTATTCACATTCATCATCAACAGCCTATAAATGCCCACTGCTAAGCAAAGCCTCTTCTCACACGGAGAAGGTTTAAGCATTAATCACAACGCTTGCTCAATGCGGGTTGGCGATTTCAAACTTATAATTAGAAATTATAAGTTCAGGTTTCCTCACGATGTTATTCCTTCACCGTTTGTCAGTGGTGTCTAAATAATCTTAGAAAGTACATATAACTCGGAAAAAGTCACATTGGTACTTGCCGTTGGTAGGTTTCGCACCTGCACCCTCATACGTGAGAAGCGGGGGTCTTAAACCTCCGGGCCACCACGACACAACAACCTTATTATTCACATTATGGTATGAAAATAAATGAATATGAATAATATGAATATTGCCGTGTAAACATCACTCGCGGTGGCAGTGGACTTTTGACCTTTGACTGTACATTTACGCGAGACACAATGTGTTTTCTATTGTGTCTCATATACCGGCAGATAAGGGGTTAATCTACAGTGAATGTTAGCAGACAAATACCGCCTCTTACTTTCTGTGAATGCTCCAATCAACCACGAAGTTTGAATGGCTTAAAAAAACTTCTTCTTTTTGCTTGAATATAATTTTGTACGAACAAGTCGGTCATCAAGTGAAACAAGTGAATTTATTCCTGCAAATAGGCTACAAGGCAGCACTTTTACACGTCAATAATCATCTAATTTCCTGCTCATGGCTTATGGCGTCCACGTTTGGCTAACACGATTGTTCATTGTTTGCAGTTGACTTTGATAAGTTGCTGATGCAGCAACGCTTCAAAAGCATTGAGAAGATCAAAACTATCGCAGCTACTTATATGGCTGCTTCTGGACTCAATCCTAATCACCATAAGGTAAGGTTGCTTTTCCTTTACCTAACTTTATGTGATCTTTTCGTCTTTGGTGTTTAAGCCGTAACTGCTTAAGCCGTAAGTAGTTAGTAAGTGTTTGTGCAAAGATTTCGTTCATTGTTTTTCGTTTCTCTTTAAGACGGGTGAGGACAATTGTGAACACCTGTGCGCGCTGGTCGACTATGCTTTCGCTCTAAGGGAAGCGCTAGAAGACATCAGTAAACACAGCTTCTACAAGTTCCGGTTAAGAGTTGGTGAGATGTACTTCTTTTAAGTTATTTTATACTAGCCTTTACACGCGGCTTCGCTCGCGTCACAAAAGGATAAAATGTAGCCAATGTGACATATACCAATACATACAGCGCCATCTATACCAATACTTTTGTTTTCCCTCGGGAATATCAAATTTTTCCGGGATAAAAAGTACCCAATTATTTAATCCAGACTTCTAACTTTACGTCTGCCAAAATTCAAAGCAATCGGTTTAGTAGTTATCGGCGTGAAATCGGAACAAACAAACAAACAAACTCATTTTCCGATTTATAATATTAGTAAGGATAGTAAGGATGTTCTTTAACTATCAAATATATTGATCTGAGCAAAGAGCACGTTAAGATGGAATTCTCTCACTACAGCGAAATATTTTTACTATTCTTGGTATTTTTACTAGGTATAAGTTGTGGTCCCCTGGTGGGCGGAGTGATAGGCGCTCGGAAGCCGGTGTATGACATCTGGGGCAACACCGTCAATGAGGCTTCCAGGATGGAGACCACTGGCGCCATGGACAAGATACAAGTCACCAAATATACTAAGCAGGTAAGGTAGTCATCTCGATTGTTTCCATCTGCTGTACCACATAGGGTACTACTAGAAAACAAGATCTGTTGACTATTAAAACCATTAGCGACTGTTATGATCATTGAAGAGACATTTGATCATGTTGACACCAGTCCTATCATCAATGTTACACAAAAACCGTTTATTCTTTTGATCCCACAAATTAATCTATTCCTTTAACAACTATTTTGTTACACAAGCCCCTCTGACGCTGCAAAATCCTCACTTTTTCTATTTATTCTACAAATTATCATTTTATTTCAACTTGCAGCTATTAGAACTTCGCGGCTATGCTCTGGAGCGCCGTGGAGCAGTGGAAGTAAAGGGCAAGGGTCGCATGGAGACATGGTGGGTGACGCGGCCCCGCGGCGCGGCCGGGCCGGCGCGGGCGTCGCCCGCCGCGCCCGCCCCGCCGCGCTCGCTGGCCGCCCTCGTGTACACCATGCTGCAGGCCAGGAAGAGGATATACACGCATCCACTGGATACTGCTGCTATGTGTCAGTACAATCTTTATTGTTTTCTTTGCAAACCGATCCAAGAAGTATCTCGTGCAGGATTGATAGCTTCAAATAAAACATATTTCTTGAAGGTATCAGAAATCTTGGCCGTGTACCTCATAATGTTTAGTGGCGTCAAGCGCAGTCTTCTTCAAACTCCCGCCTAATATTGTCATTCATTTGAAACTGGTTAAGATTCTGTGCTAACTCTTAATACTATCCAGTTGGGTTTTACCCAGGAGAAAGAGCAACAAATCACTCGCAACTTCTAGTTAACTATTGAAACTTCGATTACAGCTAAACGAGGCGGTAGTGTGCGCACAAGTCGAGCAGACACCGCGCCGGGGGGATCAGCCAGACGGTCGGAGCTACGGCGGGCGCGGACACGACATGCCAGATCGTAAGTACATCATTATATTAGTACATTGTTGAAATGGTGTCCGAAATGCCTTCAAAATACTTCTTAAAATAAAATTCTATTAAAAAACACTCACTCTGACAGTTCATAGTATCATTAGTATGTTAAAGATATTTATCGTATATCCAAATCGAGTTATAATATCTTCCCTATCTATTTATTTATCGTATCTATCAATTGGCGTTCCATAGTCTTTGCCTGCCTACCATGGGAGACAGGTGTGAGGTTAGGTATGTATGTATTTACACCATTTCTTGCACCTTCTCCACAGAACTGGCAACGAGTTAGAGCTGGGAGCGATCAGGCCTCACTCGAGTAGTCTAGTAGTGCGTAGGGCGGACATGTCGGCGGCGCCGCCCGCGTCGCTGTCGGCGCCGCACACGCCGACCGGCGCCGCGCACCCGCCCGGCACTGCGCACGCGCACGGCGCCGTGCAGCACACTCCGCACTCACTGCCGCCGCGGGATAAACAAACTAAGCTGGGATTAGGTAAGTGTTCATACAAAAATCATTGTCGCACTCTACTTTCTTTTCTTTTACTAATGTTTGAAATTTTAAACTGGCAAATGTCATTCTGATGTTTACGAGAAAAGCATAGCTTAGGGTTGGTCTTGCCCTATTTCGAAAACTAGATGTCCTAAAAATTTAGCTAAAAAGTAACTATTTTTTACCAAACCTTGGGTTGAAATGATCTGCTACAAAAGTTATAGATGTGTCAAATAATATACAAATATTGCCGCTGTCTGAAAATAGTTGTACATCCTTTAAATTAAAGTAATCTGTGCTCCCGCTGAGAAGCAGTACTAAAAAAAGCATTTCTTACAAGTATCGGTAGTAAAGTATGTACATTTTAATAACATAAAACTCACTTACCACTAATCTATTTACAGGAGCTCGTCTAAAAGCAGCAAGCTTCTCATCAAGAACCAGACCCAGGGATAGATCGCCGAACATACGAGAACAACCGCACGAAGGTTCAGGCGCCTCTATGGCAACGGTACACCTGGCTCCTTCCGCATAAGATCTATCACTAACGCCTCCATATTTAAGAGCAGAAACAAGGAGAAGCGCAGCAAAGAGCAACTAGATGGTGAAAGCAAGGAGAACGGAGATGCAGTCTCGACTAGGATGTAACTACATTGTGATGATTCTTATTTTGAGGATTGACATAGCCCAAATGTAATTCTATGTTACCTGTAGCTGTAGCAAATACCATTTAGCGCTTGTCTACTTGTAGAATAGAAAACCAAATTATATGGAATTGACGTAAATTTTGACACTTGTCAGTGTCATCCCCATACATTTTGATTTCTACTCTGTCTGTAGACAAGTGCTAAAGTGGCGTTTGGCTAAAGGCCCTGTGCCTTTTCGACAGTAGACAAGCGCTAAATGGCATTTGGCTACAGCTGCTGTTCTACAGAATTTAAACTTTCTTATCAACGGCCATCTTTTGATTTGTCAGTATATTTTTCAGAATGTCTGATAAAGGAGACTTTCCGCCGTTTGTCTTCCTTCTAGTAATTATGTTACGATATGTTTATTTAGATTACACCTTACATGACTGATTTGCAGCTATACCGTACAATGAACGCTGGCTAGAGGCTGTCACGAATATAGCGCAAAATATTTGAAAAATAACGGTTTTTAGCGAAGTTGCATCTACTTGTAGATAAGTATTAGAAATACCTGTTTTTGTACATAATCTTTTAGATACTATTTATTTAATATTTATAATACAAATGACATTATTTATTTTTAATCTATACTTTTACTCGGGACATTATATTCTGTATTAGACTCTATTATTTATTGCGGAAAGCACAAAATGTATTGTATACCTATTTTATTATGAGAGTATTGTTTTATGAGCGCTAAGCGTTTCATGTAAATATTGTAAGATAGTTTTTGTATAGTCGGTCAGAACTATTGGACTCGATGACTGGGACCAAACCGATTGGCTCTGAGATTTGTGCGAGGAGTTTTGAGGAGGCGGGACGTCTTACAACAAAAAATTTATCGTAGAATTTTCTGGAATACTTTTAACGTTTGTAAGGCGCAAGAGTCCATCAGTTATGACTGCTTCATAGATTTAATTGTAAGGATAATTGAACAGCATTTTACTTTAATATGTATAGGATTGAATGTGCCACCGTTTTACAGTAGAACAGACAATGCCAAAGAATCTGCATGATCTCAAAAGCATTTTAGTAAAGCTTAATAAGTAGACATTTTAACATATTTAATATAAGATCTGACTACGTATATTAGTAGATTTACTGTCTAGAAACTACGATGTTGCCAAAGCCAAACTATTGTAAGTAATTTCGAACAAATATTTTAAAATGAACTCTATGACATATGAAATAAAACGTCAAATCAACTTGGATGATTTATTTATTTCACTAATATATATAATTTTGAATACGCGTCTGCTCTAATAATTTAATTATGTAGGAAACATGATTCAAAAGTGTATTTATTCAAAATATCTCTTTAAACATTATATTAATTTCATAAACTCATTGCTTAATAAATATATCTATAAATAAAAAGCTTTGGGAATATTCACACGTAAATAGCACTCGAAATATGAATCCATTAACATCTTATGTAATTTACATACAAAACTTTGGAATTTCAAAAAATATTAACAAAAGTGTTTCAAAAAACGGGAGAACAATGAGATTTCAATACAATTTGTATCATTCATTTCATTCACTTGTCATTCGTTCAAATCGTACAGTTCATTCATTCATTGTATCATTTGTACCGTTTACTACGTTTGATGATAACATCAATCGCTCTTATAACACAATATACAAATCAGACACCAGCACATAAAACCAGGAATACATTCAAGGAAAAAACGTACTGTAACATTTATCCCTTCGTGTATCCCGGGTTTTAAGCTACCCCAAACATAATAGAATTTTCAACCTTATCTATGATAGATAAAGTTAAAAATGTATTTGACGGACTCGTAGTAGCTTCATGTGCTGGTGACTAACCATACATGCAACATTCACATACATTCTAACAAAGTACTATTATACCTGTGATGTTTTATTGCTTATAGTCAAGCACTGACCTTATAAATGAACTCATTAATATCTTATATTCTCCTATAACTACACAGCCGACAAACATTTTGGAAATGATTTTACATAGTAATATAAAAAAGTACTTTTCTTTACTTACAAAGCTCTACTTATGGACCCTCTACGCTCGATGTATTAAATAAATATTTAATTTATCGTATTTATTGCATATTAATACATTATATTAAATTTTATCGAAGCTAGAATAGGCCTATATGTTTTGAAATTAGGTTTTTTCTTAACTTTATAATGTACTATTTAAACCATCATTCCCTATTTATTATACAACCATTTTCCTTTGTATTCGTACTATGATTAATTCACAATCCTTCTATAAATATACAAAGCTAATTATAGCTTTAAGTAAGGTTTACTGAAGTGTAATATCTTAAATATCAAGACAGTTCCCTTTACAATCGATTTTTAACTTACGATCTAATGTGTGACGGGTTCTTTCTCTTGTAGAAGTCAAAGTATGCATATCACAAAATATTAAATAAATATTACGTTAAAATAAGTTTCCTCGAAGGAAATATTTACATTTGTGATTTAAAGGCACGATTGTGAAAGAACATGCGCAAAGTGCGCAAAAAATAGCGCAAACTTTTGCGCATCTCAAAAGTATGATATGAGAATTATTTGAGAATATCTAGCGTGTCGAATATTAATCTATTCGCGTACTTATTTAGACCTTACTATGTACGGTCCTTCACATGTATACAACATTAGCCACCTAATATTATGACTACAATGCATTAACGTCTTTGATCCGTCAGTCTTGGTCTAATACTAAAGCGACTCACACAATAAATACAGGCAAGATTCCCTTTTAAAGTTCATATAAAAATATTTGTGGCCATATCTATGGCACCAATGTGATTTCGTGATTTAATTACACTTTAGTAATATTAATTTATCTAATTTATTATTTATTGTTAATTATGTTCGGGTCGCATCGTTGCTGTTTGTAGTACTTCCGTCCATCTGAAACAAGTTACATAAACATGAATAACATCACGCACTTTGTCCCAAAGAGTAGGCAGAGGTGCACATTACGGTATTTAATGCCACTGTATAATGAACACCCACTTTTCACTATTTATGGAGTCCCATGTAATAGGGGTGAGCCTATTGCCATATACCGGGTACAATACCAGATTCCGTGCTACTACTGTAAATAAAAAAACCCAGTAATAATTAGCCCGAACCGGGCAAGGGCCAACAGTCGCACTTGCGACCACTTGGCCAACCAGGCAGTTAGCTAACTGGAAAAAGTTGTGTTTTTTTACTTTCAATTTGTAGAGTGAATAATTAGTACAGTATGAATGTCTTACCTGTTAAATGTGTACTGGCTGTCTGCCCTGAAGAAGTACACGTGGTTCTTGAACTGGAGTTTGAACACGAAGTCTTTGTCGATGTTGTCTTCTGACGCCGGCGCGCCCACGCTGTATCTGTATTCGTAAGTAATAAAGTTGGCTTTTATTATGGAAGCTTGGATAAAGCAAAATCGTATAATGTACACCATTAGATCAACGTATGCAATTGATATATTTATAACATACACACACATTGGAGATTCTATACACTTATACATACTACATACATCTAAAATCCTCATACCATTATTTTTGGCGTGAAAAACTAAAAATTTTCATATAAAAGATGATTACAATAAACGGTAAAGTCAAAATGAAACTTACCCCAGCAAAGGTAGCGACGCAAGCGGTGTTTCATCCTGCCAGGACTTGTAGAAGAACAGTGTGGATATAGCGAACACTACCCACAGCTTCTGCCAGCCCGGGGACTTCTTGAACTTGCGCAGTAAGTACCCGGATAGTTGCGTCTAGAGTAGAAACAATGAGTATTTTTACAGCAATTGTACGTCTATTTGAAATCGACAAATCTGGAATCTTGACCGAGTAAATACTCATTTGTAGCTCTACTTAGGAGGAATACATGAATAATATTCAACGTGACAAAGAACCAAAATTTCTACGCTTAGATGAGATCTTTGATGATAAAACCATGAAAAATATATTTTCTTACCCGCATAGCGAGATGTAGATGTACAGAATCGAGCGAAGTGAACCGGTGCCAACATACATGTGCCAGGCCCCCGCCCGCACTACTCGCCGCGCTGGGGGATTCTGTAACAACACAATCTTATAAATATATCTATAATTAAGTATTGACTGTAACTTCATCAAGATTCTTTACAAATATAATATGATAATCTAGCTTCAAAAAATGCGGTATCTCATTGTTGTCGCAATATTTTTAATATTTAATTCAAGATTTAAAAGAAGGTCCAAAAATCAAAGAGTACTCAAACTGATGGTCTAAAAAAGGTTAAAGATAAATTCTTCAAGTAAGTCAAAAAGAACCGAAAAAGAAATGAAAATGAATTCAAAATATATCACTACTATTATCAATCTGTTTGAGGTTTCAAAGCAGGAATTTAGTAATAACTTTAGTCTTAACCTCTCGAGCGTCCTTATGAGCACCCGGTGGAACATAAGAAAAAATGCTCCATGCTGCTTTCTCTTTTATAAAATCTATTATTAATGTTTTTTTTATTTTGACTGTATTTGTTTTGTTTCTATTGTAATGATCATTGTTTTCGTGTGCCAATGGCCAAATAAATGCATTTTCTTGCATGCATAAGGATAAGGAAATGCATAAGGAACGCTGACGCTCGACGAGTTAAACATGACATATATTCACAACACAAATCTAATGAAATCAAACATACCAGTCTCTTGTTCGTATGGCGTAAGTTCAGTGTCGACGTCAGTAAACTTGTCGCGCGCGTTTTCAATCGCGTTCGACAGAGCGTTGTACCAGCCTGTGTATTCACTGTCGTTCGTCGCACTCAGAAGCAAGTTTACGTCTTCAACTGCGGAAATAAATATTTAAATAAACTGCTGTACGGGGTTAGATCACTTAGTAATAACTAAAAAAATAATAAAATTACATAACGTAACTTCACGCTTTTATCCCCGAACGGGTAGGCAGAGGTGCACATTATGGCACTGAATGTAATAAGGGGTGGGCCTATTGCCATATACAGGGCACAATTCCAGACTCCGTGCTACTACTGAGATTTTTTTTAACACCCAGTAGTACTTTGCCCGCCCAGGAATCGAACCCGAGACCCCTTGCCCGGCAGTCGCACTTGCGACCACTCGGCCAACGAGGCAGCAAGCAAAATAACAAAATTACTAAAATAAAAAATTTATTTCAGCAAAAGCACCTTTTAATTTTCAATAATTTGACCGCTACAAATATATACACTTACACAGAGCAGTAGAATAAAACAGATATTTCACAAGTAGATCATAGAGTAAACAACACATACCAGTGAGTGAGAATGAGTGCGGTAGCTCTGAAGTCTTGAGGTGGAGTGCGTGCAGTGGGAGGGCAGAGTGCGCGCGGAACTGGGTACTGCCCGTCTTGGATGTCACCACTAACACGTCGCTGAACTGAAAGTATTACAATACTTATTCATTTGGACGTAATACAAAATCAACAGTATTTTCTAACAATCCTCAAATTCTAATCCCCAAATGGCCGGTACATATTGTCTTTCAGGTGTCCATGGGCGGCGCCGATTGCTTACAATCAGGTGATCCGTCTGCTCGGCTAATACCATAAACAAAAAAAAAACAATGTGGAATTCCAAACATCCAATATTATTAATGAGAATACGTAAACAAAATCTGAATGCATTCAGTTTTTATTAAGTTTACCAGAGAAATGAGAATGTGACCATTAAGTAAGACTTAAACGGCTACACTACTAAAAAGGTAACAACCAAAATGAATTATTGTAAACAATGCACGTTTGAACGTAAATCATTATATTTTAAGTGCATGGTAACGCCCGAATACTGAAGATTACTCAATTTTAAGTTGTACTTAAATATCGTGCTATCTCTGTCATTTTACAAAGAATTTGTGGAGACAGAACTATACTTAAGCGCGACTTATAATTGAGTAGCGTTTGAGTATCTCGACATAAGTCTGTTAACGTCATTAACATGACATGCAGAAGGCCAAGCACGAATAACTATCGGATTCGTATCGTAACAGTATCGAGCGAGTTAAGCGTTCTGATTGGTTGATTCACTTGAGCCGGCCAATCAGAGCGCCGAACGCGCTCGATATTATTACGTTACGAATGCGATAGTTATTCGTGCTTGGCACTCAGTTGTTTAGAAACTTACCAAGAACAACATCCTTTGTTGCAATCCTCTAGAAGAATGTTTGTATACACAACCCATTCTGACAAATTCACGCTCTGCCACTAATAACTTATCGTAACCTGTAACAAAAACAAACCATTTTAAATCCATAAAAACATAATTAACTAAAATCGCGGGTTACACACGTGAATATATTAATACTGAGAAAAGCTCTACTAGTTGTACTAGGTCGCGGCGCAAGTAGCAACACCGAGGCGAGCGCCGACTGCCAGTGAGCTGCGTGACATCGACGTGATCGCGCACGCTGCTCATGAGGAAGAATCCCTCTGTGGTTCGAAACTAGTAGAGCTTTTCTCAGTATATTCACGTGAGTAACCCGCGATTTTAGTTAATTCCGTAAAAACATATTTCAGAAATATGAAGATTCTTTTTTATTCCCTAATTCTAGAATCAAATATGTATTAAGATTGTCGGGAAGTATTCACTAATATTTCAAAGATCATAGCGACACTCAAAATAATTTGTAATAGGGTAGTAGATAGTGAAAATTTAAAATGTTATTAGTCCGTCAGTAAGATAATGAAATTACATTAGAATTTTTTTTTTTGTAGTATGAGAAAACAATATTTAGATAAAACGGAGTTAAGTGTAGGAGTGGAAGGTCGTTACGTCCCGCTACCCTATAAATTGTAGTAAATTGTGACATCACACGATAATTCTAATCAATACAATCGTCGAAAGTATTTAGTTTTGTAAGAAAATAAATATACGTGTGTAATATTTTAAAATAATGTACCAGACGGACATTGAAATAAAATTTAGGATACTGCCCTATTGTTCGGTTTATGATAAACCTCTTAAGAAGACAATTGTTCTATACGGCAAGTACAATGTGTGACGGTGTATGTGGGATGTATACCGGCGAGGTCCCGCTGCAGCTGACAGAGCGCGGCGTGGTTCTCCCCGTGCTGCAGCTGCGCGCGCGCCGCGCCCCACACGCGCGCACTCAGCTCGCGCGCGCCCTCCGCGCCCGCGCCCGGGCTGGCGCTGTACAGCTCTACGGGACAAACATCGTATTTAAAATACACTTTAACTAAACATAAACTCTATTAGTTAACACATTTCATAAAAATATAAAAAAATTTTAAAACTGTATCATCCTATCATTAGAATTCAGCATAAGGATATTAATTACTGATATTTTTACATTAAAGCCATCATCACGGACGTCCACACAATTAAATAAATGGATAAAATAATCAAAGAAAATCATCCAGTATTTAAACCAAAATACGACACAAAACTTTTGACTTCACAATACCAAAACCTAATACGACCAACAGCTATAGCCAGTATATACTTTATAAAATGAATAATGATCAGTAAGTACATACCCTCAGCAAGTCGGTGATAATGCAGCGCTCTATGCAGCGGCCTTAGCAACAATGCAGCCAATGGTAGCGGCGCCTTCGAGTCAAACAACGCGGCCGCACGACCTGCTTCGTTCCCTCTCCGTCGTACACTTTCCACTACACCTACTAGGGAACCAGCGCGGGAACTGTACCATAGGTACGCCTACAGTACAAAAAAAAACATAATAGTTAGTTTGCTCAAATCGTTTGCACAATGAGAAAAAATGAAGAAATTTTATTATAGACATTATGCGTTAATAGAAAGTATTAAAGATTGTTTTGAATGCCTATATATCTTTATGCAAAATAGTTTGCGCAATGTATTACTACTTGCGCAAGCTAATAAAAAGTGGTAGACAAGGATACTTACGTCCATTGTACTTAATAAATGTTCGTACAAGACATCGCCGATTTTCTTATACTCAGGCTCCTCTGTATCTGTAAAGAAAATCATACAATTAATATCAGATTTTCACACAGGGCATTCTATTAGCATTTTTTTTTTTTTTGAGGAAGGAAAATTATCCAATGACTTTTCTCGCCCGGGTGAAGCGAGAGAGAGTGTCAGACTCTTACTGACTAAAAACCACCCCGTTACTACTCCTGTACTTCGAGCCGGAGCCCCGGCAACCCGTTAAGTCCGCCGCGGCTCCGTATCGGCATCAGCCCTATTGGGCCCCATCCGCCCTATTAGGGTGATCTGATGGCTCTTTGAGGCGCGCGCGAAACGCGACGCGCCGTACGCTCGGGTCTGGTTCTCGAGTCACCCATGCTCGCCGTCCGCAGACCGAATGTCCATTCCCTCACGCGCCCTGCCTCCTCCTTAGCTAGTATATCCTTTTAGGCTAGCAATAGCTTCAACCGGAGGTTACTACTTCAAGGCATAGTAACGCACTTCAATAGATACAATCACAATGATGTTGTTAGTTAAGTGTATATTCATTGGCAACATTAAAAATGCTTTCAATTTAATATTAAACCAACGCAACGCAAAAAAATGCATTCAATTTAATATAATAATAATAATAATAAAAGTATTTACCATTAGCGTCAGGTCGTGGTGCATTAGACAGTAGCCTGTCAAGTCGTGCGAGTAACTTCCCATTACTGAGCGCGAGTGGTTCCAGTGCGAGGCAGGCGCGAGCTAACGCGGGCCCAGACTCCGCGCCGCTCGCCGCCAGCTCGGATACACTGCTACTCCATTTCTGTACACAAATATAACATTTTAGTGTTAAATATTACTCTATCATTAACTCATTCAAGAAGCACTGAAGAATAGATAGATTTTATTGTAACTCATGGATACACCCTACGTAAAATAATATGTCCAAGTTGTTAAATTACTATCTGCTAATCTGAAATAGGTTAGATATAAATCTATAACTGATTTAAATTACTCTTTTGTAGTTATTCAGCACTATGTTTCAATAGTTTTCAATAGTCACTGAATGTTTTAATGAACTGTTATAAAAAATCAATACCTACACTTAAAAACTACAGCTCAACTTATATGTATTTACAGCCATCCAAAACATAACTATTATATTTATTTAGTGTTCTCAACCATCTATGAAAGTGTTTAAGTAAAATGACAGTAAAATAAATACAAGTCCTTCAAGTAATAATACTTACAACAGTAACAAGTTCTAGATCCCTCTTGTAAGTTCTCTCAGTCATCAGTAACTCCTTCGCCACGAAGTACGTGATGTCGTTGTTGCGCTTCCTGGGCGCGTCGCCGACCTCGCGCAACGTTCCCAACATACCGGACGATATACTACGACAATAAAAAAGAATATTCGTAAAGAAAATAATATTCACGAACTGATCCAAGAAAGTAATTTATGTTCCTGGGACTTCAGTGTTTCGGTGTTATGATGACTGACTCTATATCGATCTTGGTATACAGAAATTGCAGCGGTTTAATGAACTTGTCTCTTGTACCATGAATGATTTGAAATTATACTAATAAAAATGTGGACATGATGGGACAAATATCTTGTTATAATGGGCACACACATATTATAACAAATAACATGTCATGGAGACACTTCGCGACTTAGGCCAAATCATCGCTTACCACCAGTAGCTGTAGCCAAATGCCATTTAGTGCTTGTCTACATGTAGAATAGAAAACCAAATTATATGGAATTGACGTAAATTTTGACACTTGTCACTGTCATCCCCATACATTTTGATTTCTACTCTCTCTGTAGACAAGAGCTAAAGTGGCGTTTGGCTAGAGGCCCAGCAGCTCTAGCCAAATGCCATTTAGCGCTTGTCTACATGTAGAATAGAAAACCAAATTATATGGAATTGACGTAAATTTTGACACTTGTCAGTGTCATTCCCATACATTTTGATTTCTACTCTCACTGTAGACAAGCGCTAAAGTGGCGTTTGGCTAAGGGCCCAGGCGAGATAGTGGTCAAACGTCAGTCCCATCTAATATTAAAAAAAACTTCTAATTGAGTGGCGTTTGAATATTTGGACATTCCTGTGTTATGTTTTAATATAAACAATCTTACCTATTATTATTCCGCCTCGAAAGAGTATCCCCGGCGTCGCTTTCCCCACCGCTGAGCACGTCCATACTGTTCACGGACTCCGAAACTACAGTCACTGAGGACAATAGTCATTATTGTACTTAACCATTGTAAGTAAAGCAATAGTAAGTAGTTTCTTTACAATAGCACATTATGTAATTTAAATGACAAATTATAACTTGAATGATTTGATTGGACATTGCAAGGCAATTATATCACTATTATGATGATAAAGATAAAGATAATTTTATTTGCCAAAACTACTTATATTACAAATAAGCTGTATTGACATAAATTATAGAAAATTGTGAGTAATTTAATTTTATAGTTAACGGTTTTCTCGTAAAATGTATAAGAAAAGAGTTGTTGGTTAGGTGTAAAGTTGGTTAGGTGCCTTAATATGCATCACTGCCTATCCCTTCGCGGATACAAGGCATGATGTTATATTATTAAAAAAACTCACCATTAACGTTTCCATTAACAGTATCATTATTATTTTCATTGATCCTCTTGTTGTCAACTACATCGTGGCCGTTCGTCAGCTGTTTGGACACGAGCGGCGTCGACGCGAATATCGGAACACCCGCTATGCTATGGTCAGCGACCGATGTTGGAGACATGCAGAGACTGGCTGAAGATACTGTGTTATCTTCCTCGGCCGATGTTTCGTCTGTTGAGGAGAAAAAAGGTTAAATAGTTGTATTGTGACGTCAGAATGGAAGGTGCATTTAAGTAGTATTTAAGTTCTGATTAAATCGCATTGATTTTCAAGATATTGAAGATGATATTCAAGATATTGGTATATAGGCTATGTAATGTTCTACTATTTGTAGTTCGGACGTATGTTGTCAAGTTAAAATACATCATACTACTCAAAAACGCTTTCCATTCTGACAGGAGATGCTATCTAATAGGAAAAAGTAAAATGTAAATTATTAAATTACAAAAGTAAAGGGACTCAAAATATCAACAGATTAAAATAATCATGTAAAGTTTGAATAAAAAAAAGTTCTAATAGGTAAATCAAATAATATCTAAAACAATAATGGGGGTGTAGCATGCAGGGAAAAGCAAAATCTGTGAACAAAAGAAAAACCCTGGAAAAAATATAATTCACAAACAAAGAAATAATTATAAGGCATAACTGAAACAAACAAAATTAAAAACATATAAACACAGTATTTGTAAAATAAAAAAAAAACAAAAAGGATATAATTCATTGAGCTTCGACAAATACGCTTAAAAAAATCTACAAGTACTGCTTCTAAGAATTCATACGTAAAATTTTAGCGTTGCATTATCCCAAAACAAATAACTTAATTTTAATAACATAAATATTATGATATTCCTTTGTCGAAACTCAATTAACAAACAATCACTATTGTGGTATTCCATGGAATGTGGGAAAATTTATCATAGGTACCTTGAACCACAAAATTTCACCCAAATATGTTCTTAATGTACAATGTACTAAAGCATTTATGGAATAAATTAGTCCCAACAGTCACAGAATACTACAATATTAATTAAAAACTTACATGAAACATCCTGGCAGCTTACAAAAAAGGGTACAATAACGAAAATGGAACAGACGACACAGATAATAAAAAGATTTTTTTTGTAATTTTATTTATTTATTGTTTAACTATCCCCGTTGAGGCGGGGCAGTGCCGTGTATTGCAGGACACAGTACACTCACACTCACATATAAATTCAAAAACGAAGTAACGTTTCAATAATCGAAACAATATTTTTTTAATTACATGACTTAATTTTGCTTACGCTTCGAATGATACTGTGAACGAGGTTTTTATAAATGATAGATTTTAAACCACTTCGTATCTGCTGACGTGGCGCGTTATATGACTATTGCGAGATCCGTCGCGATCTACTGGGTCATTGTATGATGCTATTGTTTAATAATTAAGTTCTTCCCGATAATGGATGAAGAATACCATGAAAATAAGTGTTTAACTCGTCGAGTACCGTATTTATAGACACAATTAAAGAACAATAGGTTGCGGTCACCGGGGACCGCTTGGTGTTTGACAGTTTAAATTCAATAATAAACACGAACTTAAACCTGCTACCCGCAATAAAACGAAAGTAATGGACTTAACGATTAACATTACGTTCTTTAAGCGATTACTCCGGTTAACTATCCACGTATACCACTATCTGACTACACCACTACACCGTAGGCGCGACAAAAAGTTTTTAATCCTCTGAACACTAAACACTGAATAAGTTTAAATGTACTGTGGACATTAATTTATGTGGATAAGTGAAATACCCGTTAAAATTAATAAAATAATTCTGCAAGTGTTTACGCAATTAGTGTTACGCGCATCGCTATAGAGCTTTTACCTTGAGTAGTAGGTGTCGTTTTAATTCAGTTTGAAAACTGCGAAGTTCGTCTGAAATCAATATAATTTCATCGTTCACAGTACTCGATCGAAGCGTTCGCTCAAACTTAAACAATTTAATGGAATTGTAACATTACAGTCTATTCGGATTGTACAATTTTAATCGAAAAGTCGAAATACTTAAGAGCTAAAATTTTTATATCGTAACGTACAGTTATTGCGCTAACTAGGGAGGTCCGTACGCCCTCTTTACGCTAGTAGACTAAAATTGCTTCGTGCACACACGACCATTTAATCTTTTAATTCAATTATAATTGAACACTATGTAGCACAGGGTTTATAGGATAATAGTTTGAATATAACCGCTTTACTGGTACGCAACTAATTACATTGTACGCTACAATTCTCTATTCTTGTCAATACTTGTAATTTCAGTCATTGAGTCAAATAAAATCGTTCAATAATAAATATATTCGAAAAAGCTCCAACTTTACTCCCTATAACATTAGTCGCGTATCAGTAAAGTTGATGAAAAACATTGTAAACACTGTAAAGGGTTCGATATAGCTAAAATTTTCATAAGTTAAGGTATATTTTGCAAATAAATATAATAATTTCTACAATACACTGGCCTTCCCAGTGTATAACGTAAAATATATTTGTTTACAACATCAGCATTATTATTTTATGTAAAATATTTTACTATGAAACAACAAAATAGTGTTACACAGGGTGTTGAAATTAAATATGCTTGGCAACACACATGTTATGTACTATGTCATAGAATTTCGTGTGCGTAATACAAATCCTGTAGTACCAAGGTCAGCATAAACTATCATTGACACTTCAAGTCACTCCAAGCTTCATAATTCCAACACCTGCATACAATTAACACATAAGATAATTTGTACGTCGATATATAAAACAAATCTACCACATTAAATATGGAACAGAACTGACGAGTGACGAGTTACTATGATATAATAATATATATAATATAATCATCATTATACATACTCCACTTAACACGACAGCCTTAACTATAACTATACATTCTCAAAAGAAAATCTCACAACTACACTGACACACAATTCGTCTATTTTTCGATCATAATTTATTCCTATCTAATTATAATATTATGAATAAACTGGGTACTAAGTACGAGTTATTCGTACGTTAACGAGATCGAAACGTTACCGCGTTCAGCCCTCTGATTGGTTGGTTTATTTGAAGCAGCCAATCAGAGCGTCGAACATCATAAACGCGTTAACCGTGTTAACGTCAAACAGACTCGTACTGGGCTCTCTGTAGGGAATAGCATTCATTTTGGCAAAACAGGAGAATTATGTATTGCTAATTCAATTGCGCGTTTAATCTTAATGTAAGGGAACATAGGCTTTTGTTTAGCATATTTAAAGATAATAATTTGGGTGAAACAAACAATATTGAAGAATGAGCTGTGAGCTATTTAAAATATAAGAAATATTGTTACTATATTGTATCGTTTTTACAGGAACCGTTCACAGGAAGTCTTAGGAATAGCCAGGTATTTTTTTCCATCATTTCCATCAAAAATCCCTCAGTATGTATAGCAACAGAACTTAATTTCGAAATGCAAGAGTTAAATTTTCGAAAAGCTTTGATTTTTTAATTAGTAGCCAGAATGAATTTCTAATTACTTCGATGACTATGAGAGTCATAGTAGATGACGACTAAACTTCTTTATAAATTATTTAAATTAAAAAACGCAGTCATTAACTTCGATGATAGTCAATAAAACAGCGCTAATAATACACACGACACGTTCTCATAACCACATCTATTTCAACTACAACTTTTTAATATTCCCAAAATTCATTATTAAAAAGTTTACAATAAAATTATGCATAATAAAAAGTGTTGGAAAAAATTGAGCATATTTGGCACGAATGCAGATCCCGTGTTGTAACAACTAGTGTGGTGTCATGGACAAAGATAAAACAACTATAAAACTAAATAACGTGCTAAATGCAATAAATAATACTTTGATCGTTTGAGCAGTAAAACGCCTAAACAGAACTCAGATCTTGGATCTCATCACCATACAAATTAAATCACAGCCTTTACAATAATACTATTTTCAGGATATTTTTATCAACGAATATAACTTTTATAAAGGTTGAAAAGACTAAAATATACGACTAGAAGACGTTGGCACTACGTTCTTATACCTGTATTGCATTTCCTCGAAGCTTTAGCTCTAGGGACTAAACAAACTATAAAGTCACGCGTATAGGGGACAGTTACAAATTCAAGTTTACATTACATTCATCAGATTCCGTAAGAGAGACGTCTGGAAATGTATAATTTAGATCAATACACATATAACTACACCTAAATACTTAACAAGCTATAGGTATGAGTGAGTTCGCGTTCACACGATAGTCAAAAGGGTCACGCTATCCAGGAATCGGCACTAGATATTTTTAATTCATTATTTTGCTAAATATTCAAAGTGACAATGTAAATATTCAATATAATGAGTACCCTAATAACAATAATTGCATTAATTTGAATTTAAATTTCGAAACGCTAACCGGCCGGCACACTCGCATTCCAAAGAGTGAACGCTCAGCCGACGAGGCGAAGGGTGACAACGACCAAACTAAATATAATACGAAATTACACTGCAAACTACGACTTAGTTTAATCATTTTCGTCATCAGAGCAAAGAGGCGGGGGCAACGTGGAGACGTCGAACTTTTGCTCGGGACTGTCGCTAGACGCTTGTGAGTCGACGTAGTGACTAGAATAGAACCTCTCTACATTATTCAGACTGAAACGTTGGTCGAGATCTCGAGCGTAATGTTCCTGATTGGCATCCCTACTCTCGTCGAGATCGTGCTCGTACTGCGGGTAACATTCCTGCGTCTGGAACATTACTACCTCTTCGTAATGTTCCGGATACGGACTGCCTCTGTACTCCTCATATTCATCTTTATCATGAGGCAGCTCCGTGTCGGAGTACGCTACCGACTCTCCGCGCTCAAATAAGTAACTGCCAGATTTTGACATTTTGGGAGCGCGTTTTATAGTATCAATTGGGTAAGCGTAGTCGTCGGAGTCATCTCGGTCACTTTGTTCTTCGTAGAACACTATCTGTTGATGCTGACCAGATGGCTCGCCTAAAGATGGATCATCAGCCTGGCGATAGACTGTCGTAGACTTTGACTTCTTCAAAGAGGATTGGCGGCTACTCTTGTTGGAGTATGAAACTCTAGGAGGGCTGTCCTCTGATACATAAGGAGGCTCCTGAGAATCGAGA